GTGGTTGAGTATCCGAGTGTTCCATCTCATTTCCCTTTGGGGTTGCTGTAGGTGATCTGGAAAACTAGTTTTGAGACTTATTTACATGTTTTCTCATTTCAGTTGGGGGGGCAGGAGGGGTGCTGTTGGCGTCCATGCAGCTCACCTCCTCTGAGCTGGGAGAGGTGGGCCAGGGGCTGGGAGGGGCGGTAGGGATGGCGGCCCGAAACCCCCTTCCTCTGGGCTGGGAGCAGTGGGATGTTTGGCGGCCTGGAATCCCCTTCCTCTGGATCAGGAACAGTGGGACAGTGGCTCAGAACCCTCTACCTCTGGGAAGGAATTCTTTAAATGCTGAGAACTTGATTAGCTCTAGTACAGTGGTCTGGTGGTCCAGTGTCCTCTGCGTCTTTGTAGTGTGGAACCAGGTGGCTGTACAGAGAAGAGGCCAAAGGAGCGGGGGCGGGGGGGGCGTCCAGTGGATTGCTGCTGGGGCATGGGCTGATTTGGTGTTTTCAGTCCGACTGGCGACCTTGGGACTGCGTCCACAGACCTGCCTGTCTGCATAGGGCTGATTCGATGTTTTCAGTATGACTCTGAATTTCTTTTTGAATTAAATGTGTTTCTTGTATGCAGCATATTGTTGGATCTTGTTTCCTGATCCATTCTTCCAGGATGTTTCTTTTGATTGGTGAATTGAGACCATTTACATAGACGGTTATAACTGTTATGTATTGACTTATTTTTATTATGTTATTTTCCTGTTGTTGGTTCCCTTTCTCTCTCTTCTGTTTAATTACTTGCCCTGCCTTGTGGATTCATTCTGTTGTGATTCATGGAGTTGTAGTCCTCTTATCTCCTTCTAGAATGTCCTTCAGAACATTTTGTAGTGCTGGTTTGGTGGTCATGAATATTTTCAGGTGTTCTTTGTCATGGAAGTATCTTATTTCTCCATCAATTTTGAAAAATAGTTTTGCAAAGTACATCAATCTGGATTGGAGGTTGTTGTCTTTTAGGGTTTGAAATACTGGGCTCCAAGCTCTCCTTGACTTGTGGGTTTGTGTTGAAAAGCCTGCTGTGATTCTGATGGGCTTTCCTTTATATATGATTTGTTTCTTTTCTCTAACAGCTTTTAATATTCTCTTCTGGTGTTGAATTTCTGTAATCTTGACTATTATATGCCTTGTTTTAAATTTATTTTTATCATGACTAATTAGAGTTCTATATGCCTCACTTATTTGTATGTCAAAAATTTTATTCTGTACTTTGGAAATTTTCTGCCATTACTTCTGTGAAAAAGATTTTTTATGTGATTTTCAGTATCTTCTGCTTTTCCACTGACTTCAGCCAATCTTGTGTTATTCTTCTTTGCATCATTTAGCAGCTGTTGGATTAATTTTTCATGCTCCCTTGCAATTTTTAAGAAATTTTTCTTTTCATGGTCACTAACTGCAATCTTGTCTTCTATATCTGTAATTCTGTTCTCACATAAACTCATTCTACTGCATACTTTCAATGAAATTTTTAATTTCCTGGATATCTGATTGAACCTGTTTCCTGAATTCCATTTGTTTCCTATGTTGAGTGTTCATGGTTTCCCTCATTTTCCTAAGCTCCTCTTTTTTTTTTTATCAGTATCTGCTCTAGAATCACTAACAATGTCTTTCATTATGGTCATCCTCTCTGTAGTTATCTGAGAATTTATTTCTGATTTGATTTTTTTCTAGGGCCTCATTCATCTGCTTTGTTACTTTTGCTGTTACCACTTCAGGAAGCCCAGGTATTCCACCTCATTTGTCCCCTGGGTTTGCCTTTGGTGACCTAGAAGTGTATTCACTCTGTTGTGATTCATGGAGTTACAGTCCATTGGTGAGCTGGAATCCCAATTGCATCTTGCTTCTCTGCCTTCTCATTTTCTATTTTTTTAGTTTAATTCCTGGGTTGATGCTTGTAAATTGCTAATGGCAGGTAGCTTTATTGCTTAGAAAATGACTACCTCTCAGAGATGTCTTCCAGATGGTTTCTGGATTTTGAATCTGTTGTAAGATTCTACCTCTTCAATTTATTGGGGATGAGAAATTGCTGCCTATTTCACCTAGCCCCTGTTTCTTTGGCACCGGCCTATAGTATTGTTTATGATCCTTAGGCAGTCTCCTTCTTAGCATACCAGGGAGAACAACAGATGAGAACAATTATATCACCTTGGCTAAAGCAGTACAATCAGCAATAACAATAGCACCAAGCACAGACTAGAGAATGACACAGTGTGGTAACTATTAATTTGCCCTTTTAACAATATGAACTAGATTTGTGGTTATATAACAAAATCTAAAACAAACCAGAAAATTGTATACAGTAAGCGTGCCCTCAATTTAGTGATCTTACCCCCAGGGAAGAAATTTTTTAAAGGGTTAGGGGCAAAAAATAGACAAACAGAAGAAGAGGAAGAGATTAGAAGCAAGGCTTTATGATAAAGGAAAATTACTTGAACTTTGGAAAACTGGTGAAGAAGACAGGAGGGAAAGAGAGAAGGAAGAACAATCAAGATAAAAGAAATCAAAAACAAGAAAAGAAAAAATGTTCATTCAGGGGGGATCTCTGCTGTCACTGATAGACTGGGTGGGCAGACAGAGCCAAGATCCATGTTGAATAATTCCAGCAAGCCAGTTGTACATTTACAGTGGGATAGTAGATAATCCCAGCAAGCCTGCACCTTTGGTTTCACTGAAATTCAGGCTGGTTTCTGGCTATGAGGCTGGGACCCAATTTGTTCAGCTTACAGTACTCCATATGCCTCCTGCCTGCTTGAACTTGGCTCTGCTGACTTGAACTCGGCTCCTTGACCTCCTGCCTATTTGTACTAGGTTCTGCTTCACCCTGACATAGGGAGCCACTAGATGGAGCCAGCTCACAGCTGCTCTCAGTTCCAAACTCAGTTGGTTCTTCCCCAAGCTGGCTACCAGCCAATCACCCTCTCCTGGGGGACATCTGAATCCAAATAACTCATCAGCCACTGTAATCCCTTGCATCCACTGCTCCATTCCACTGGTGTGTTTTGCCATGGAGGCCTCTGGGGTCACCAGTAGTTCTGCAGCCTTGAGCCATCCCTCCCATGTTGTGAGTCAAGGCTCAGGGAGAAAGCACCACTTGCCACTTCCTTCTTCTGCATTGAGATCTCTCTTTTTGCTCTCCCCATGGGCTTCAATTCTTGCTTCAGATCTTTGCTGGGTCCCAGGGACACACTGCCCTCCTTCTTTTCTTCCTCACATTGCTGTATTCCAACATCTGGGCACCAAATCTCGGGGAGGCTGTTTCTCTATTGTTCACCATGCCACTATCTTCCCAGAAATCTCAATTAAGAGTATTTTTTAAAAAAAGAAATTAGAAGTACCACATGGGGAATATAGATGTCATGATTACCGTTTGCCAAATATCTCTGTTCTGTACCTCCTAGCACACTATAGGATCCTACTCCCTGCTTCCTGGGATTGGCTAGTATGATGAGGAATTATGTTTGGAAATGAACATTTATTTGCCAAAAAAAGAAAAGAGCTTCTTGAGCTCTCTTCTGCCTCTGTTACCGTGCCTGGCAATGTTTGTGCTGTTGGCAGTTCCAATGGCCCCCAATAAGTATGAGAATATGAACTCAGATTTGGCCATTTTGAGTCACTGAGATTTGGATGTTGGTTGTTACTATAGTATGCCTTAGTTTGTCCTGACTGCCCCAGAGAAGATATTAACATTGGCATGCCCAGTATATTATATCTCAGTAAATCAAAATCAACTAAAGTTAAAAGATTGCTGTTAGGAATTAGTCAGAATGAAAGAAAATAACCGTATTGTTGAAATGTTTCCTAGTCCTTGATTAAGGTTCAATGTTAAGACTCCTTCCTCCCAGATAGTCTGGGTTGTCTCCTTTCTACCCTTTGTTGATGACCAGACCAAATTCAAATGATCACAGTCTTTATTTAAAATTGTTGTTGCTTCCATTTAAAAAGACACATCATGTGCTATTTTGAAAATGAACAGTTTAGAATCAAATGCAATAAAATGTAAAAGGCTTTCTTCCTCTCCTCCCCTCCCACCCCATTCCCTAGAGTTCACAGTTTGTAGTAAACTCCTCTAGGCATTTTCTGCAGTTCCAAGTATAAACAGAATCCCATTCTTCATATTCTTTTGTGCTTTGCTTTTTCATTTATTTTACCAGGTGTCTTGGTAGTGCATATTCAATTTACCTATCTTTTTTGTCTGTTTCATAATGATAGACAGTTTAGGGGTTTTTCCCACTCTTATTCTTAGTAATGCTCCAGTGAACATTCTTGTAAAATATACCTTTTGCACACTTGTGTGAGTTAATCCAGAAGAAAAAAATCACTATAATTTGAATTCTTGGTTGACAGGAAATGGCAGTTTAAATGCCAATAAATATGGACTATTCTAGTGGTGGCAAACCTGCAGCTCGCATACTACAGTGGGCTGTTTGTATCAATTGAAAGCTCTAAAAGATTCGCCATCACTGGGCTGTTCTCTTTCCAAAGATCAATTCAATTTACATTCCATCTAACATAGAGTGAAATCCTTCCCTTTTCCCAGCTCTCAAGAATGCCAGGTATTATACTGTAAAACTTTTTTAAACCTCTCTATCATTATAATTACGAACTATGATGTGGCCTTGTTGATTTATGGGACATTTCCTTAACTGTAGGTGGGTTTATTCTTGTTCTTTCTTCAATGATGGTAATATCTTTAGTCAAGTAAAGTATTGTGAGGCTTGGGTGGTATTCTTTCTCTTTCATTTGTGCTGATTTTATTGTTTATATTTCAAAGAATAACCCTATTTTTGAGCACCCAGGAGCATCTCACTGCCAACCCCCATGTACTGAATAAACATTGCTCACAGCATTTCTAGACCTAGACATGGCAGCTGGGGATTTTTACCATGACGTCCTCCAGGCAGATGGACTGGGAATTGGGCAGCTCCTGAAGCTCTCAGTTAATTGATGTGACCTATTCTTTCATTGCAGCAATTCAGTTTTGTGTCCTTGCCCACTGATGTGCTAGAAATTGAGGTGAAGGACAAGTTTGCCAAGAGCCGCCCTATCATCAAGCGCTTCCTGGGAAAGCTGTCGATGCCTGTCCAGAGACTCCTGGAGAGACACGCCATAGGGTAAACCTGTGACTGGGAGCTCAGTGTCACTGGGCTTTGTCCAACAGGCCAGGCCACAAAGGAGCTTGGAAGCTACAATAATATAGAGTCTCACAGAGAATAAAACTAAAATGTTGCATTTCCTTGGCTTCTCCCAGTAGTTATATTGTCTGCACTATAACATTCAATTAAACAAATCTTTTCCTTTTCCTTGTATATCCCAGGTTACATATGTAAGAGAGCAGAGAATTCTAAGACAGTATTAAGAGAAATCATCAGTGAGACATTTTTCTGCATAAATAGATGTTAAAGTTTGTTTTACTATAAAGAATATTATTTTCTTCATATGCCTATCTTGTATTTAGAATTTAATCATAAATGACATTTCTATAACAAGATGAAAAGCTAGGTTACTTGAGTAGAGTATCTCAGAAGATGCTTCTATGTGCAGAAAATGCTAGACAAAATGAATGGCATTTTGAAAACACAAATTCTTATGGAATAACATTAATTATGTCACTTGCAGAATTCAGTTATTTATGAGAATATGTTTCTGTGCTTTGAATCATTTACGTTCATGTTCACCCACAGTTCTCATTAAAATGAATAATGACCCAAAAAACTCCTTATGTATAATACTTACTTCTTTAGGTAAAAGCAACTATATTTGCAAACACTAGGCATAACTCTTTGACTATAAACATATGCTTCAATATGATATAACCCTTAGAATGAAAAGAATGAGAAACACCCTGCAGAATTTCCCCATGTCTTAAAGTTCTTTGGCACGACTTGGGCACGACTAATGATTATTGTAAAGCTATTTAATTGGAACCTTATAGCATGTGTGCAGCCATGTACACACATACTGTTAACTCTCAAACCAAAGGGAGCCAATGTATATTGAGCGATTGCTGTTTCAAACACAGTCCTTTCGCTTCCCCTGTCATGGTTGTAGGCAGGCATCAAACAAACAAAAAGTGTACTTAAAGATCCTAACAGAATCTCTACACATATTAGGAACTCAACAAAGGAATGGTGCTCTTCACGATCCTTGTTAGTTCATCTAGTCCTCATATCACTTCTGTTCTTCCAAATACAGAAAAAGAACTTAGAAGGGATGAGTAATTCCCTAAGCCGAAGCATGTGAGGGCCAGAGATGCAGCTGAGGCTAACACACACCTGTCTCTCTCCAAAAGACCAAGACCCCTAGTAGGCTCTTTGCAGGGTTCCTGGGACTGATTGTCTATGAGGTATGATGAAAATGTACAAATTTTTAAAATTTTATTACAGTAGAAGACACACTGCCGCTAATTTCCCTCAAAATTCTCCCTTTGCTTTAAACACATCCATCCCATTGTTCTTGCCATTTTCTGAAGCAGTTCTGAAGTTCACTTTCATGAGAGTCTTTATGAAGTGTGATCAAAAATGTAGTAATGCTGCTGCCAGAGTGCCATTCAAGGGAAACCTAGGCTCATAAAAACATGCTGTATCCTCCTCCACATTATTCACTGGATCTGGAGCAATGCAATTTCTGGATCTTCCCCAAAGTCAAAATGACCATGAAGGGGAAACATTTTTGAAACAATTTAGGACATTGAGGTAGCCATGACAGTGCAACTAAAGACACTCATCAAAGAAGACTTCCAGAACTGCCTCGGAAAGTGGCAATAGGCCAACAGTGTTTGAAGTGTGTGTGTGGGGCGGGGGGTATTTTGAAGGGAATTAATGGCAGTGTGTGAATGTGTGTTTTATTATAATAAATTTTACCAAAAAATTTAAACATTAGCTGTATTTTTCAGTCACACCTTATAGTTTTATCATTGGCCTCACTTCATTATTCTTCTCTAACCTACTCTCTGCTCTTACACTGGTAAAACTCTGCCAGGAGGCAGGCTGTAGGAGAATAAAGAGGCTGTGTAGGTATATATACACATAGAGAGAGGGGCCAGGGTTGAATCAGGCCCTTCACAATAAGCTACATTCCCAGCCCTAGTTTTATTTTTTTATTTTTTTATTTTGAGATAGAATCTTGCTAAATCGCCAAGTTTCCCAGGCTGGGCTTGAACTCAACATTCTCCTGTCTCAGCCTCACAGAGTGCTGGGATTACAGGCTTGTACCACTATGCCCAGCTATGTAGGATTCTTTACACCCTAGCACTGAGCACACTGCTGCTTAGTGTGTACTAAATATTCAGTTAGTACCTGTTGAACTGCTCTGTGGTGCTCACTGCAGCCACGGAGAGAAACCATCTGTACCTCAATGCTAAGTATTTTTCATAAGCTCAAGCTCCTGGCTCATTTCTTCTTGTCATTATCCTGCCCTCCTAGACTAACTCTTTTGGAAGACACTTCCCGCAAGTGGTGAAAGCAAGCAATTGAGGTTTAAAAATACATTCTATAACCTGCACAGAATTAGCTTGATATTTCTAGTGTTCTTGCCAACCAAGGCAAAGGAAAAGCCCAAAGTATAACTGAGCTTAAAACCCCTCTCTAAGAGGAGCAGCAGCAAGCAGGGAGGTACTCTCTTCTCACCTCCCCTGATGGGATGACACACAGCCCCTGACAGCCACTTCTGCAACGCTGCCCATCCTGGAGCCATCCAGTATAAAAGGAGCAGGACATGAGGGTGATGACTTAGAAACAATAGTCATTTGGACTAGGCCATGGCAGATTCCCAGAACACATCTAGAACAGAAGCAAACCCCCCTTCCACTGCAGCTTCCCTCTGTCCTCACAAATACACTTCCTGTAAGTCCCCTGAATCCATTGCTTTCTCCCTGCCTTCAGACAGTTGTGCCCCGCCCCGCCCCCCCCACACCAGTTCTAGCACTCCCTCCATCCTTTTACCTGTAATGTCCTATCCTTCAGCTGGCTCTTAACCTCAGCCATCTTTTCTTCACTTTGGAAGACTTCTTAGTGGTGCTACCTCAGACCCCAGTTGGACAATGGAAGTTACTCAAAGACACAGTACACACTTCGTGTCAACAGAGTACTTTTTAGGGCAACTTGTGGATTGAGTTGTATAAAGAAAATCTTAGAAGGCAAATGCAAAGCATAATAAATATACAGTGGTACCTTAATTCATGAGTGCTTTTGTTTGCAAACAATTTTGGTTCACAAATAGAAGCATTTGGGAAAATTATTTGTTTGTGAACTCTGCGTCAGGTGACAACAGGACCACGGCCATGTTTCCCACACAAACACGAACATGGTCATCTTTTCCAAAATCATGGAGCAAATTAAGTTCATGAATCGAGGTACCACCGTATTTCCATGTTACCATCTGGTCATTTTTAAGTTGATTCAATTAAGATTTGAGTTCATATATCTTGCTTACTGTCAAAATATACCTACTTCATAATGTTAACCAAGGTCTACATAGACGAAATTTTGTAGCTCATCCTGTTTTTCCTATCTATAATGCTTTAGTTTAATGAACTTCTGACACTAAACACTAAATTATGGCTTAGCAAAGAAAAACATCAAGTCAGTGAATCACTGGAATATATATTGTTTCCCAACATCAGTGTTTTCTAGAACAAAATGTTAAAACACTACCAGCCAGTGATTTTCATCCTTTTATGTAAATGTCACAAATGAATACATGGAAGGAATACAGCGTAGGAATTGGTCTTAGAATACTGTATGTTTTTGTTATCATTGGGGACACTGGATTTGTTAATTCCTGTACATCCCAAGGTAGTCAGTCTTTTTATTTTGGCCAAGGTAGGGGCAATTTACTTTGCCAAAGCTGCATTTTTTATGAAAAAATAACGGCAAACCTTTAGGTTGATCCCCCTGGATAACTTCCTTTCTAGTAATTAAGAAATTGCTTTGAGTGTGTAGATGGGATGGAGCCAAGAGTCCAAGGTGGAGACTAAGGGTCTCTGTACGTGCAAGCCCTGCAGTTGGTGTAAGTGGAAGTCAAAGACCACTGAACTTGGCCCACAAGTCTTGCCCTGCTCCATCCTGCAGCAGGTGGCTTTCCACAGCAACCACAGGCTCTTACCACACCTCGATGGCACCTCTTCTTACACATACATTATATATGTACCCCGTGACATGCATGTTTTGGCACTGTCCTGAGTTAAGGGCATGTTTGGGAAATAGTGATCTGCACAAGAAAAGCAAGCAAAAGATGTTGACTTGTCTTTATTTTTCCTTCTTTTTATTCTCTAGAACACAGGTTAACAAACTTTTTTGTAAAGGCTAGGAAATAAATAGCTAAGGCTTTGCAGGTGATATGGTCTCTGTACAAACTGCTGAACCCCCCTACCACAGCATGAAAGTAGTCACAGACAATATAAGCAAATCAGCGTGACTTCATCCCAATAAAACCTTATTTACAGACACTGAAATTTGAATTTCATGTAATTTTCATGTCTCGTGAGATATTACTCTTCTGTGGATTGTGTTTTTATTTCCAACTATTTAAACATGTTAAAAGCTCCAGGCCACACAAAAACAAGTGGTGGCCAAAATTAGAGGCTATAGTTTGCTGGGTTTTGGAGTATTAAGAATTACCTTGTAATTGACCATATCTGTGTTCCCATTTTTACCTTAAGATCATCTCCTATGTACCAGACCAGATCAAGGCCTCCTGTTATCAAGGCTCCCCTGGGACTGCATGTCTCAGCTGCTAGTATAGACAGCACACTGTATGGTCTATACAAGAAGAAGTATTGACCAGATCTGTGATGGTGCTTATTTCCTTCTAGGGATAGGGTTGTCAGCTACACACTTGGCCGAAGGCTTCCAACAGATCATGTGAGTGGACAACTGCAATTCCGATTTGAGATCACTTCCTCCATCCACCCAGGTATTTTCAGCATGAATTTCATGTCTTGTCCTGTCCTAGGCTACTGTCCTAGTGTGTTCCTTTCTCTAAAACACAGTAACCGTGGTTCTCTCCAGACATGTCCTAGGTTTTGTGCTTCTCTATCTTCCTTTGAGACCTAGAAGCCAGTTATGTATTCTGGAAGCCAGGTTGCTGTTCCTTGATTGAGAGGCTCTTCTTTGCTTTGGTGACCCAAAGGTAGAGGGTTACCCAGTGCAATGGGGGTCGACAATGTGGCCAACGTAGACAGAGAGACATCTTCATTGGCAAGTACTGGCAACACCCACATAGAAGGTGCTCAATAGATATTTAATCATTGTACACAAAAGCAAGTGAATGAATAGGAAACATCTCTTTCTACCACATCACTGGATATAGACTACCCCATAGCTGAAGATTGTTGTATTATTGAAGAACTATGACTACACAATGAATTCTTACAGTATCACAGAGAAAATAGAAAAATATACATTAGAAAATTTCAGAATCATCCCCATGTTTGGTTTTGGAGGCTAAAACATATTTCTAAGTAAGAATGATGAGATGCCTCATAATTTCCACTTTTGTTCTCCTCCCATAGCCCCAATAGTATGTATAGATCATGCTGAGACTTGCTAGGCTCTCTTGGGCCACATTTATGACTTGCTGTTAAAACCTGCAAAGATTTCGAGAATCTAGACTGAGGAGTTTATTATGACACAGTCATTAAACTCCAATTGTACTGTTCTACACCCAGTGTATATCTCAGATTATAAGTAAACACTTTGACTGCTTTAGCCTGTGAAAATCAGCCTTTTGCTACCTTTTGAGAATAAAACTGACTCTTCTGTGGTGTAAGCGTAAGTATAGCTTTACCATTCACTTAAGAGATTATTTTTCTTCAACTAGTGAATTGCCCTAGTGTACTTGAAATGCAGGCATTCACCTCAGGTAAGGAATCCTATGGTGAAGCAGTTGAGGGAGGGAGAGTTAAACAGTACTTGCTGCTCCTTGAATGGCTGCTTCCTGTGGAGACCTTGTTTATTTTTCTGTTGCAATAAGCTCAAATGACTGTGATTGCTCCCATCTGTCATCCACCCCTTTATTCTCTCTAGTTGCCTAAGAACCTGGCTCATCCGTTCAGGCACCCTTTGAGATCCATCCAGAGAAAACATTCTGAGCCAGTACAATTAACTTTGCCAGTGATCTCAAAGAACCATAAACCACCCCATCTCTGGAAGCCATCCCCTGTAGCAAACACTGTCGGGCATCTTCTATCTGGGCATTTTAACAACAACAACAACAAAATTCAAAAATATACCCACTACTGTAAATTGTCATTAACATAACAAGAACTCACTCTTACAGAATTTTTCAGCAGATCTCTGCCCAATGAGAAACCCTCATCAAACCCTACATCCAATACCCTACTGTAGAAATTCCTTAGTGGCAACTTCCATTGCTGCACAGTGGACCATTAGCCTTATGCTTTCTTCCGGAAGGAATGACATAGTTTTCTTCTTGCCAGCAGATGATGAGGAGATTTCACTGAGCACTGAGCCTGAGTCCGCAGAAACTCAGAGCAGCCTCATGAACAGCCTGGTGGGAAGCAGCCGCGTAGAACCTCCAGATGATGTTCCCAATCCCTGCGAGATCTTGAAGGCAGATCCCTTGAGTGAGGACAACGAGATGGACGGTGCAGGAAACCAGAGCCTGGAGCCTGCAGGGCCAGTGGAAGATGTGTCCTGCATCATGGAGGCAGGAGACCAGGGCAAGGCCTTTGAAGAACCCGAGGGGGCTGGGGAGCCACAGGACACCCAGCCCACCCTGAGTGCAGAGGAACTGGCCGAAGGGCTTGGCCTGGATGAGGAGGCACCACCATCGCTGCTGCTGGAGGATGGCGATGCTCTCGCCAACGAGGAGGAGCTGGGGCAAGAGGAAGCAGCTCCCGGGAGCGGGGCAGGAAGGGAAGAGGAGGAAGAAGAGGCGGAGAAGCAGGAGCAGGTGGAGGAGGAGGAGGTGGAGATGGAAGAGGGCGAGGCTTCCAACCCGGAGCAGGGCGAGCGTGCCTTGCAGCTGCGGGCCTTGGCCAAGAGACGAAGCCGGCCATGCTCACTGCCGGTGTCCGAGCTGGAGACTGTGATTGCGGCGGCCTGCGCAGACCCCGAGACACCGCGCACGCACTACATACGCATCCACGCGCTGCTGCACAGCCTGCCGTGCGCGCGCGAAGAGGGCGGCGCTGACGAGGAGCCCACGCTGCGCGACGCCTCAGACAAGGACGCGCTCAGCGAGGAGGCCGACACGCTGGCCGCCGACCCACCCGCGCTGGACGAGGACGCAGCCGAGCCCCAGGGTGGCCTTCCAGGCGTGGGGACCCCCGGCCACCCCGAGGGCCTGCTCCCGGGCCCCGAGGGCGATGCGCATCCTAGCACGGGGAGTGAGAGCGACTCCAGCCCGAGGCCGGGTGGCGAGCACAGCTGCGAGGGCTGCGATGCCTCGTGCTGCAGCCCCTCGTGCTACAGCTCCTCCTGCTACAGCACGTCGTGCTACAGCTCCTCGTGCTACAGCGCCTCCTGCCACAGCCCCTCCTGCTACAATGGTGGCAGCCGCTTCGCCAGCCACACGCGCTTCTCCTCGGTGGACAGCGCCAAGGTCTCCGAGAGCACCGTCTTCTCCTCGCAGGACGACGAGGACGAGGAGAACAGCGCCTTCGAGTCAGTACCCGACTCCGTGCAGAGCCCTGAGCTGGACCCCGAGGCCACCAATGGCACCGGGCCGTGGCAGGACGAGCTGACCGCGCCCGGAGGGACCGTGGCGAGAACTGCAGAAGGGCTGGAGTCCCCCATGGCAGGTCCGAGCCATCGGAGAGAAGGTTAGACCTCAAACCTGGTCAGAGTAAGAATAGGACCACCCGGGGCCCGCAGGTCTCAGAACAAGATGGGAGGGACCCAGCCCCAGTGGGGTTGCTGGGGTAACGTGTGCCTGTGTTGTGCCCAATATGTGTGTGTGTCCAAGTGTACATGAGGGTAGATGACTGTGGATCGCTGGCACCCCACCATGTCTCAGACACACACCAAAAAATACAACTGGTTGGATGTGAGTGTGTACTTGTGTGTTTCCCTGCTTTAACCAGACATCAGAACTGGGTGGTGCAAATCACCTTTCTGGTCTTGACAGCAACCCAAGCGCCAAGACTAGTATCAAACGCTACCACTGAGAAATGATCACTCTGTCGTTGATGTTAGAAGCATAATGTGTTAAAAATATCTGCTGACTTCCCAAAACACATTGAGGTTTAGCAGTCAATGTTAATGTTAGTTGAGGAGCATGGATTTTACCTTTGTTTGATAATTTAACTAGTCCATGTATATGGATGGAAAAAAAAAGCCTATCCATGTTTGTCATTACAGTATTTCTGTCTCCTCAGTTCTTGTTATAATTGTTGGTTTTGTTTTGTTGGTGTTGTCCTTGTGGGCTTTTGTGCTGGATGAAAGGGAAGGATAACATGAATGTGTAAATCAGAGTGTTTCTAATAAGATTCGAATCCCAAAGCTGCCACCTTTAGTTTTCAAATGTATTCTATGTTTTAACCAAGGATATTCCTTCTTACACCTGTGGGATCATATATTAAATTAACCTGCTTTTCTTTATCCAGGATTGGGAACCATCTTCCAGTCCAGTGACGGTGGTGTAGGGGAAATAGACAATAATATAATTCAGTTGTTTTAAAAGGGCAAGATATGGATGCTATTTTGCTGTTAACTGTTTAGTCTGCAAACAAAAAGTGGTGGGATTCTTTCTAGATTGTAAGCTCATCAAGGGCCAGAAGTATGTCTTTTTATTTCAATCCTCAGTACCTAAACAAATGCCCAGTGCCTACAGAGTTTTTTGAACAGAAACTAGAGTGAGCAAGATGGCCAATTTGTTCACTGTAGAAACTGCAGTAGGTGAGCTAGGTAGACTGCACAGCTAGGTAGACGTACAGCTTAGTCGGCAGCAATTTAGAGCCTTGTCAGCTCATTATTAAGTATGAACCGACAGCCATACAAACTAGTACTCTTTATCTACTTTTTTGCTTGCTTTCTCTTTATAAAAACATTTTTAAGCTCCATATAAAATAATATTTAAGCCGGGCATGGTGGTGCATGCCTGTAATCTGAGCACTTGGGAGGCGGAGCCAGGAGAGTTGCAAGTTGGAGTCTTATCTGGACAACTTAGCCAGACTCTGTCTCAAAAATAATAAATAAATAAATGGTGCTATGGATGTAGCTCAGTGTGAAAGCCCAAGGTTCAATCCCCAGTACCAAAGGAAGTAAAATGAAATGAAACAGTTTTTTAAAACCTTGCTCAGATGAATGAAAGGAGCAAGATACTCCTGTGAGTAGGAGATCAAGCCCTAGAGGCCTGCTTGGTTTATATCCAGTCTCACCATGTCCTCAGCAAGTGACCTAACTGCTCTGTGTCTCACTTTCCTCCTGTGTCAAGTAGACATAATTGGAGAATGCACCCCAACGGCTTATTTGAAGAGCTAAATGAATATTATAAAGTGCTCTCTTTTAACAGACTGGAAGTTCCTCCAAGGAAGCAATGGGGCTAACAGCATACAAAGCCATCCTTTAATTCTGTATTTCCTACACTGTGTTATTTAAGGGAGATTTTCACACCGTTAGGTGTAGATCACTGCTTCAAATAATATTCAGTGTAGCTTGTGTTTTCCTACAATGCGGTTGTATTATTTATAAACAGAGGAGAATTGAAAAGGACCTCTCTGACGTTTAGCTGCGAAACAGGTTTTCATCCTGGATGCTCTACCAGGTCGGAACTCTTGCTTTGCACTCAAGGCCAGGGTGGTGGTGCGGCGCTGGCTCCTGGTACAGGACACAATCGCTTGCTTCTGCAGTGCACTCCATGCATCCAGTCAGCTGACCTGTCAGTCACATCATTGCATCTGCTTAGGGGTCCCAAGCAGGTGGACCAGCTCCATTAACCCCAGGCGAGCAACAATATTGTAATTTCCACTAGCTTGGAGGAGTAATTAACCTGTTTGGCTGAATTCATTACAATGAGATATGTCTGTTGGGTTTTTTAAAAAAGAAACTAAATTAAAAGTGCAGCAGCTGATGACATAACAACTGTACCATTGTTTTTTTTTTTAATCTCTGACACTGAACACAAAGAAAAACAAAAAATATCATGCCCACTTAAACACAGAACCCATGTTTGAAACAGCGATCATCAGTCCACACTGAGCTAGGTGCTGGCAGGAGGGTTGGTGCCTTCTCTGATTTACATTAGCATCTTCAATGAACAGAGGATTTGTTTAATATTAAACAATTTTCACATGGAATAATGTTATGTTTTTAACACTTTGAAGGGTCTTTTGTTCCTGAATACATCTGTATTTTTGTTTGCTAGTTACTGCTAAGAATTGAGCTACTAAACTAAATCTTCCTAACTTCCTTCCTCATTAATTTATTTTTATTTTTGGTCAGGTCAGGGAAACAAAAGTAGGAGGAAAAATTCATCTTTCTCGGTGTGGATATTCTGAGAAATGATTAGCGTTTTGAGATCACACAAAGATCTCAACCATTGTTTGCTGCAGTTTCTCTCCCTTTTGACCCAAGGGGTAGTAGGACATTTGTTATTTGTGTTGGCCTTGGAGGGCAGAGGAAAGAACAGGGCTGACATTTATCCTCTGGCCATAGGTGTGTGAGGCAGGAGGAAATCAGGCTGGAGTTGGGTGGAGGCTGTCTTGTTGGGTCCTTCCAGCTCTCCAAGATTAAAACCAATCAGCTGGTTCTGTAGGCCATCGTGAAACAGGAGCACTGCTCTAGAACATTGCTGTGTCCATTGTAAGTCTGAACTGACAACAGCATAAGCTATGTCTATAATAATCCAGGACACGCATCCTGTGGCTATAATGTTTATTTCTAGAATTTCTCCATGTCTGTCCTTCTTCCTTCCATCCTGCTTCGGTGTTTCAAGTTTTCCTGTTTCCGTCTTCTTGCTTTCTATATACTTCCTTTGTCTTTTGTCCTTTTTCCAGAGCACCATGACTTGTCTGATTCCTCCTCCAAATAGTCTGAAATAGTCATGAGTTTCCAAAGCACCTTACGTTCCCTGCCGCAGCATCCCTATAAGAGGAATTTACCTGCTTGAACCAGGCAACATCTGAAAGTTTCATCCCCCCCGCCCCCAAATATGGGCAATGGTCTCTGTGCAGGCTTCTGATGAACCCTAGTCTTACAATGAGATATACTGTTTTACAAGCCCACCAAGCTTTTATGGGACCTTATAAATGCTACACATCCCTCAAGCCCATTTCCTTGTCTGGGCCGAAATCAGGCTTTGGTTTTTGTCTCTTGTATTTCTTTCTGATGACACCTTCCCATCAAGAAAATTCAAGTGGTCACAGAATCATATTCTAGTCCTACATATGAGTTTGTGTGGCATGCATCATTACTCATGAAGTGTTTGGATTTTTTCTTCTTCTTCTTCCTCCTCCCCTTCATCTTGTTCTTCTCCTTGTTCCTCCTCTTCTTCCTTTTTAAATAATTCTTTCCATCATAAATGACTGTGAATGTAGCAAACTATCACAGAAAATAGATTGCCAAACTAAATGTGTTGTTCTTGTAGTTTGTTTTACAGTCATGCTTTTTTTGATGACGTTGCCATAGCAATGAATGAATCTGAATTTCTTGACTATCTTGTCCATAGGTGAATGTCCTATTCTCCATAATTCCCAGCCAGTAAGCCAGCTTCCTTCCCTGAGGCCTGAACATCACCACTACCCAACAATCGATGAGCCTCTTCCACCAAGTAAGCTTTAGTTTTTAAAATCTGTGTCTTAACTCTTCCTATCAAGTCTAACCAGGTCAGTATGAATTTGTATGTAAACATCCAAACTCTTTTCCAACTTTGTACCTATCACTGTTACCAAAAACTATATGACACCTAATTATAAAAATGGTATTTTTCGACTAGTTTTTCAGCACGTGATCTTGAAAAAATAACCAGATGTTTTCAGTGTCCCTCACTTCCTGAAACGGAGAGCATTTCTTTACAAGCAGCACTACTTTTTTCTTGATGAACTTTGTTACTTGGAAACTGTCCATGACACCAAAATCCCAAATTTTACTATTACATTTAAATTTTTCTATCCAAATAGTATAATTCTGCCATTCTCCATTGGATCTGTTATCCACAAATATCTTCACACAGTACATACTAACTTCAACCCACAGGGCCTAGAACTTGTACTTTCTTTGGTATAATAGCATCAATAAGTAATAACTCTAAATTTCTTCTGTAGTTCTTACAGATGGCCAGGCAAAATATCATCTTTAGGATAGAATTCAATGTTGTTTTTCTCCCTAGTAACAGGGGTGTGTAATTAATGACCCTAACTAGTTATCTGACCTTAGGAAATTCATTTACTCTCTCAGACACTCAGTTTTCTTATTTGTAAAATGAAGCTTTAGTGTCCTCATCTGCTAAGTGCTACATTTGGACTAGGTAGTTTCTAGGTATCATTTCAGAATTAACTTTATAATACTCCATTTTAACAAATTTATGGGAAGGAACTGCCACCCCCAGATATATAAACTCACTTAGCATCACATATGTTTGTGAATTCTGCAACATCTCTGTTTAGATTTAGGATTTTTTTCCACACAAAGATAATCTTTAAGATTTGATAGAGATATTTTTACAACTGCAAAATCTTTTTAGGATGCAAGAAACCAGAGTTTCTTTACATTCTTTTGCCTGTACTTATGTTAAACAGTTACAGTTTTCAAAAGAAGAATTGCTTAGTTGTTAATTCATCTGTTCTTGGTGATGTGATGTCTCTTGCACAAACACTACTTTTTTGCACAATTCAACTGTAGTTTTTTTATCAGTAAAGAAACATTGAATATTTTTGTTTTTCTGAGGCCAAGCCAAATGTTACCTCCTTTAATTTTTGATGCTTGATTTCTTTTTTAATCAATACATTGATTTATGAAAATTTCATAATTAAATAGTACAATTTCAACATTACTATAAATACTTTACTGTCAGCACTTATGTGAAAAATATCAATAACATGTTTCTGAGACACTTCTCACAACAAATAACCCACCAATGTAGGTGTGCATACACGTACTTCCAGTTCCCAAAAAACGACTTAATGTAAGCCACTTTTAATAAATAAAACAAATTTATCTTGCCAGAGGTGGTGGTGCAGGCCTGTAATACCAGCTACTCAGGAGGCTGTGTTCCAAGTTCTAAGCCATGTTGGGCAACTTAGCAAGACCGTGTCTTAAAATTAAAAAGGTTAAAAAGACTGGTGATGTAGCTCAGCGGTAAAGCACCTACCTACCATGTGTGACATCGTGGGCTCAGTACCCAGCCCCATGAAAAAAATCTCCAGATAGACTTCAATTTTCTATCCACATGACACTAAAAAATATTGGAAGAGTTGTTAGCGAATCCTAGCAGCTGAATTTTCTTAGATAATCTCAAATGGTACCTAAAAGATGTCATTACTCTAGTCATTCATTTGAGGATTCTACTGAATGCTTACTCTGTGCTAGGTACCAGTCTAGGCAAGCAAGATGAACAAAGATCCCTGCCCTCATGGAGTTTACAGTCCAATCTGGGAGGCCTGGTAGAGTACAGAGGGGCTTTGGCTTTTACTCTGAATAAAGGGGAACATTGCAGGGTTTTGAGCGGAGAAGAGACACTGAGCATCTGGAGGACAGAGACCTGAATTACCTAGCTCTGTGTCCTAGGACCTGGCCTTGTTGCTGGTTTGTAGTAAATACTGAAGGCATTAATAGCAGGATATTCTTTGAAGATCCGTATTTATTCTTAGATGACAGTCCTGTTAGAGTCAAGGAAAAGAACTGTCCAGTTGCTTTTCTAGTATTCATTTGGGAACCATTGAAATTTCAGAATTTTTGAATTGAGATTGACTGCCCAGTAACACAGTCACATATATACACAGTTTCATCCATGAGCTAGTTAATGTTTACCACTAACACTTGACAGTGGGATTATCTCATCGCCCATTCTAGCCAAAGCCTCCTAGAATACACTATACAACATAACTGTGTTTTTCCTCAATTTATTTTAGAAGTTAAATTTGGTGTTTTGAGTATTCTGGTTTTTATTAGACATCATTTGACAGTCCCTCAGGCCAGACATGTGCCAAGGTGTTCCCAGACAGGTATGCCATGTACATATAAAGCCATAAATAGGCCACACTGATTTTTTTCACTTAAAAAAAAATGAGAGTTGCTATGTCATTACCTGAATGAGTTTTCAAGAGAATTTTTATGATCTGACCTACTCCCAAAAGCTGTGGCTTTTCTCTTAAGAGGCTGAATAGTTTTTCCCCCTTTTGCAGTCATTTTTGCTTTTTCCCCCCTCTGTGGTCCAAGGCATTCCCAGCATATCATTATCATGTTGCTGCTATTTCCACTGCATTTTTACATGTGGTCTCTGAAAGCTTCATCCATTCCTGTGTGGCAAACATTGCTCTCATATGTCAAGCTCATGCATGAGCACATTATTTCCAGCCCTTCAGATGTGAGGGCTCTTTCATGCGTCTCCCCCAGTGCAACCCCTCCATGTATTATTATGTAGTACATCATCAACGTGTCTGCCTTTTTGTTTCTGGTTTCTTTTGTGTGTTCAATTTGAGAAGCAAAAGAATTTGTCTATATCTAGGGCTCCCTCTACTGTTCAGTAGTGTTATTTATCAACATACTGGTACATATTTAAAAGTTTGATGTTTGCCAGTAGCTCTCATGGGTTTGGTTTGGCTTTGTTCGGAGATATTTGGCAGCCACAGGTAGGTTGAATATACACTGTGAATTAACAACTTTCCTCGGGATCAAATCTGCCTATCTATCCTCTCGAGAGGAACAGCAATCAGTTTGACGTGTTAAGCATTTTTAAAAGGTCATCTGAATTTGCAGGTGTAAGGATTAAAGTTAAAATTAGTTTCAGTACAAGAGCCATCAGCACTGAACCTTGTCATCGTCTGTTAGATTTATCAAAGAAAGGATTCTTAGCCAGATGTGTGGTGTACACTTGAATCCCAGCACTGTTGGAGGCTGAAGCAGGAAGATGGCGAATTCGAACCCAGCATGGCCACTTAGTGAGACCCTGTCTCAGAATTTTAAAAAGGGCTGCCATGTAACTCCATGTGAAACCCTTAGTTTCAATCCCTAGTACAAAAAAGAAAGACAGAGGGAGAGAGGGAGAGAGAGAGAGAGAGAGGAAAAGAAGGGAAGATTGATTCTCCAGTGTCACAGTGTGGACTCGACTCTCACCTAGAGGACATGTCCAGTCTTCCACAGCTGTCATTTGAGTAGCCGACAATGTTTTTAAAAGAAATAAACTGGCTCTCTCTTTAGAAATTGTAAGGATTTGAGCAGAGGCCATATCCAGTGAACCATCATTACTGTTCAGGGTGGCCCAGCAGTGAGTCTAGGTGCTGCAAGCTCTTTTCTGGAATGCCCCATCCCATACCACTGGTGACTGGCCATTGTCAACAACCAATGGTGAGTTCTACCTGCAGGAGACCTGGAATGGTAGCTGTTCACATGGATCAGTGGTTTGTCCTTGATTTTTCTTTCTGCCTTTTTGTTAAACACTAGACTGGGAAGCTCGGATTGACAGCCATGGGCGGGTCTTTTATGTGGACCATGTGAACCGTACGACCACCTGGCAGCGCCCTACAGCTGCAGCCACCCCGGACGGGATGAGGAGATCCGGCTCAGTCCAGCAGATGGAGCAGCTCAACAGGCGGTTGGTGATCAGTATGCAATGAGCTCCTCTGAACCTAAAGACACCCACACTTTTCTGTAAAGTGTGCAGTCACGGGAAATAATTACGTGCCTTAAGAACCTGTTCAGGGCCAGGGATTTAGCTTTGTGGTTTCGCCGCCTGCTGTGCAAGCGCAAGGACCCGAGTTCAATCCCCGGTACAAAAAAAAAGAACCTGTTCATGGTGGGTTCTTGGAAGGCCAGACTTAGAGTAAGGAGGCAGGATACGAATGGAGCTTGAGGTCATTTAAAATGGGGGCTCCCCTGAACTTCCTACTGGCCCCACTGGAAACCAGGCATTCATAGCCACAACCCCCTCGCCTGCGTCTTCACCAAGAATGCTAGTGTCCTACAAACCCTCCAGAAATGGACCCCTCATTGCATGTGGATGGGCGCTTTTCTGCTAGACTGGTCCATATCCATCATAAAGTTCTCATACAATTCTGAACATTCCAAGGATAGATTACCTAAGAATACTAAACACTGGCTGCCGGAAAAGCTGTCTCATAAATCACTATCTTAGTCTCATAATTGTTATGTACTCACAGATAATAATTCTTCAAAAACCTTCACCTTAGAAAAAGAAATGTTCAAAAGCATCCTTGACACTGGATGCATTGGCACGCTCCTGTGATCAATCCCAGCTACTTTCGAGGCTGAGGCAGAAGGATAGAGAGTTTGAGGCCAGCCTGGGCAATGCATAATAAAACCCCGTATCAAAAAGAATGATCAGTTTTTGGGGGGGAGAACTGTTTTCTTTAGAAACTAGACCCTTACTGTTGACCTTGTAAATGTGTCATTTTAACATGAAAATGAAACCGTGGGTCACGTAGACAGTAGACAGTGGCATCTCCACCGTCTGGTTCCCAGAAGGCAGGGAACTTTGAGTTGCCAGGAATGCAAGCTCGCTTCAGTTGTAATCACATCAGTGTGCAATGTGCAGTGTGCAGTGTATGTGTCCAGTGTGAAGCTAAAGGAAAGGTCGAAAGGGGCCAAGAAGAGTGAAGACTTGAGCTTGAAGGGCTCCTGTTGATAGCAGAAGACTGAAACTCAGCTGTATCAGCCACGGGAGGGAAAGTGGACTATTTAGTCCCATTAAAAACACATGCAGACAACAAGTTCAATTTCTTGTTACTGTTGTCCACAGAGGAACATGCTTTAGGTGAAAGTCACCAGAAGATTTTATTGCTTGAACATTTGGAAGGTATTTGCTTTCCATTTTTCTCCGTCAGTGTTTAAGCCATTAATGAGAACCATAAAGGATTTTCATTGGCAGCATAGCTCTCCAGTCATTCATGCTGTTACAAAGCATGTCCTAAGGATGATCTTGAGATCACCTAGTTTTACTAGACGTGGGTGCACACAAAAACCTATGAACAATTCTTTGATGGTGTCTGCAACAAAGTTCCTGCCATTCAAACTGTAGAAGACACAGCAAGCAAAGACCCTATAGGCAGAAGTTAGCCTCCAGAACTGTCTTGCCAGAATAGATGAGTTGAAATTGTTTAGCAGGCTGAGAACGTGTTATCAGGTGATGTCCACAAGAGGCACTGTTTGAATACTAAATGCTAAACATATCAACAATAAATAAAACAAAGAAATAAACTATAAATCTGAAGCAGAAGGAAGCACCTTATCCTGTGCATAAAAATCCATAAAAGTTCAGAATGTTCCGTCGTAGAGCATAAAAGTTAGGCCAAGGAAGCTGGACTTGGTGGCACTCACCTGTGATCCCAGCATCCTGGGAGGCTGAGGCAGGAGGATCACAAGTTTCAGTCCAGCCTGGGAAACTTAGTGACTTAGTTTGAACCCAGCCTGGCAAGTTAGTGACTTAGCAAGACCCTGTCTCAAAATTTTTAGAAAAAGAGGCTGTGGCTAGAGCTCAACATGAAGGGCCTGCATTCAATCTCCAGTATAGAGAGGGGGAAAATAAATTAAGCAAGTCCACCTGGAACTAGACCTCTCAAGAAGTTTTGCAGCTTTTCATATATCAATCCCTGTGCCCTCCAGTGGGACTGAACACACTGGGAGGAACAGCTGGACTGCCAGATAAGAAGCTGTATTTGTCGTTTATCTGAACAGATAGAGAAGGACCTTAGTGATTTGAGAAAATACTTATTTCTTATGGGAAAGCCTACCTAGAGAAGATCAGACAACCTTCAGATAAGAATCCAGAATGTTTAATATTTATCTGACCCTAATGCCTTCAAGCATTTAGTGTTTTCTATGATTTGGCATGATATGGGGAGCCACAAACAGCATCCAACCAGTCTGGTGTCTAGCTCACCTGCGATCGCACATAGGGGTCATTTTTTGATAACCGGCAGTTATCAGGAGACATTTACAGGAGTCACTGTCTCCCCACAAAACAGAAATATGTCTTAGTGTTGCAAGAAGGACTTTCTCCTGAATCCCCACTGCGTGATTGTGACTATCAGACCCGCTGGTGCTGAGAAGTGCAGAGGGCCTGCTGACAACATGTGATCTCCTGTGGTCACCTGCAAGGACCGTGGTCAGACTCAGCCAAATGTGGCACGGCCTCCTGAGCCTTTGGGGCTTGACCACAGGTTCCCACTGTGGGGAGGTTCCTCACTGCCTGCCTCCGCCTGGGACCCATCTCCTCACTCACCAGCCAAACATGGCCATCATATGCCCTGTGACACCTCCCAGAATCCTCCACAGGAACGGGGAGGCAGGGACTTCCTCCTCCATGGCAGCATGAATGTGTGTGTCTCTGGTTTGCTTCTTACCATCCTGCCTTGTTTTTCTTTCTGCCCTTCCTGTTAACTAATGTGATTCTGAAATATAGCAGGACTCAGTACAAGATGTTTCTCTGAATTAGTGCCTACACTTTTGGAATATCCAGAATAAATAACTCTACTTTCACATACATGTAATGAGCAAGCAGAAAATATAAATATTCATTCTAATTTTAAATAGCCAACTAAAGTTGATTTTTCAAGTTACTTTTATAAAATTATAGTAAGGGTGATAAAAAAATTTTAGAGTAAAAAATGATCTACAATCCCAAGTATTAAACTTTTTAAAAAATGAGTACATCTTAAATTGCTATATGCATGCACAATTCTCACAGAGTTTTAATAATAAAATATAGTTAAACATTAATTTTTCACTTACTACACTATAAACATCTTTTCTATTGCTGCATCTTCTTCACATTAATGTCTGAATGCTTATAAGTATCTCACTGAGTGGCCTCAATTTCTGACACTGTTGAATGTTTTGCCTGTGGCTTTTATCACTGTATTTTATTTGGCCACCAAGAGAGCATTGTTACACATTAAAATCATCTAATAGTAGAGCATTTCCTGAGGATTCCCTTACTTAAGGAGCAGGTCCTGGGAGGTAAACCTTTTGCCAGTATCTAATTCCAATGCCTGTTTACTAACATGGTCCAAGGTTCATTTTGCCAACAACAACTTCACTTCCATCTCATCTTTGGTTTCTTTTTGCTGATTTAGAAGTACTCCTGGTATTTTGGAACTGCTTTCATTTTACTTCTCAGAGGTCAACATTTTCCCATAATATTTTCTTTAAAAACTCTAGTTATTCCATGTGAATGTTCTGTTTTTAGGTTTTTATTTTGGAGCGGGGGTGTGGTTTTAAAAGATTTTTTTTTTTTCTGGTTAAATTGCATGTGTGTCTCTGTTTGCAAATTATGTATTTTGAGGGTTTTTTTAAACCAGTTTCCCTAACCCCTTTATATACTATTAGTGTTTAACCTTTTGCTGCAAAACAAAAGGAAAGAGGAGATATATATATATATATAGAGAGAGAGAGAGAGAGAGAGAGAGAGAGAGAGAAAGGACAGAACAGGAACGGAGGACATTCATGAGTAATTATTGATGAAATAGGAGATTTCCTCTTTTGTTTCCCAGCTCCATGTACCCTGCTTCCCCAAACTGCCCCTAAGCTTCAGCAAAGATCGAGAATGAGGTATTTGAGACAGTTGGCTTAACAAAGCATGAGATAACCAGGGTCCATCTAAGGACATGTGAAGGAGGTTGTGACAGCGCAGACATTTACATTGTCAAATAAGATCACATTTACTCAAAAATTCTCTGCTGCAGTCATTCCACTTTGGGAAGGAATAAAGGTTACAACTCAATCTTTGTCTAAGCCCTATTCCAGGTGTGTATTGCTCAGTAACAGACCTCCCTACACGTAGCAGCAAAAATCAACCAGTCATTTATTAGGATCATTATTATTATTTCTCATGGTGCTGATTGATTGGGCCCAGCAAAGCACTGTCCCTCAGCTTGTCTTGTGGTTACAGTTAGAGTGACTGGGGCTGGAGGTGACATATTTGGAGGTTGATGCTGGCTGTTAGCTTAAGTGTCTAATTCTGACAGTCACCTTGACAGTTCTCTTGCAAGTGGTCTGGGGACCACACTGAGGAATCCTGCTGTAAGGGGGAAGGAATGTGATGCTCGTCTTAGAAGCCTGCCATAGTAGGCTAAGTTTTGACCTAAGACTTCACTTGGAGACCTGATTGTTCCTTACTGTCCTTCATCCATCTGGTCTAAGCAGAAGCCTTGAACTTCACAGTTGTCTCTTCCCCCATCTTCAACACTTATGTTTAGTGCGGCCCCTAATACTGTTGAGTCCGCTTGTAAAAATACTACAAATACTGCCACCCAATATATATCTTGAAATGGCCCTTTCACCTATCCCTGCTGTGGCCTGAGGAAAGGGAAAGCTGAGTCCTGGTCCTGTCACCCTGGGAGGATGAGAGCTTTTAGACAAAACAGAAGTCTTATGGGGAGAGTGGAGAGGCTTCTTGGAAGGCAGCTATGCTCACCACTATACCACCAATGCCAGAGGTTTCTTGGAATGAGAGAAGTAGTGGCTGGACATCTGCCTACAAAATAACTAACAAAGCAGATAGAGAGGCCAGAGAGGTGTAGCAGTGTTCTGAGAATCCTGTTGGCAGATACCACTGACCTAAGAATCCCTGCAAGTACGTGGGTGTTTTCCCTCTGCCAGCAGCTCCACCCACCATCCCCACCTGGGTTGGCCCTTGTCAGCATCTCCAGCCGAGACTGTTGTAGTATCACCGCACTGTTCTCCCTGATGCAGGCTCTTCTCCATCCTCCACACCAGTGAAGGTTGATCATTCTCAGGGTGAACGTGGCACTGTCATTCTTCCTTAGCAATGACTCTTCACTGAGTGTTGATCCCTGGACCTACGGCGTCAGGATAATCTAGGAACAGGTGCAGTGCAGATCAGAAATGCAGATGCTTTGCCCTGACCCCGGACTTGCCAAATCACAGATTCTGGGGTGGAGCCGGGGAATCTGTCTTGTAACAAGAGTTCTGCAGTGACTCTGGTCAGGTTGGGAAGCCTGAGCTCACACGGCTTCTGGGGTACACTCTGATTGTCCCCTACCTCCCTCTCTGCTGTCTCCTCTCACTTCCCAGTGCCAAAACATCTCATGCCACCCTTGAGCTTCTCAGAGCTTTCCCAGTGTGCTCTACTTGCACATGTTTTCTCTTCTGAAAATGTTCTTTCCGGCCAAGTATCCTGATAAATTCACCCTCTGGTTTCAAAATGTATCTGCCTTCTGGTATCTGTCTTGTATCTACCTTGTCAGTTGCCATGGTCTCTTACATGTCTCAGACAGCCTTTCTCTTAGCTGGAGTTTTTTTATTTATCACCTCCCCTCTTTGCTCCATTTCAGCAGTGTGTTCCAAGGACAGTGGGATATTCTAATCCTCTCTTTGATCTGAAAGTCTAGCTCAGAGCCTGCACACAGCAGAAGGGCTATTTAGTACCTATGAGAATGACTGGCTGGTCAGCCACCTGATTTGATCCTCAATTTAGAAAAAAGGATAAATCTTCAAATAAGCAGCTAATATTTTGTTTGCCTGTATGCTTTTAGGTGTAATATTTCCACAACCTCTCCCCAACCATGTCAGTTACCCGTCAAATAAAAATGTGAGTAGAACAACTATTCAACTTTGTGTACTTACTACAATAATGTAGAGGTAATTCCATATATCTGGGTTGTAACATTTTAATTTACTTCCCACACTCTGATTTCAGACTTAGCCTGATTTTGTCTAATAAGCTATTTTGCATGGTTATTATCTATGTCACTTTTTTAAAGATCACTATCCTCAAAACTCATTATAGCTTGCAAAACAAAAAGAAGTCAAATACTGGTCCTGCTAATTATTTTGGCTAGCTCTTGAGAATTTAAAACATTTCTCTCCTGACCTCCAAGACAATTCTTTACAGACTTCTCCAGTTGTCTGATTCAGAGCACCTGCTTCCCACAAGCAAAGCCATGAAAATTAACTCCTGTTCTCCATTTTTCTGATACAAAGGTATCAAAATATTCAGCGAACCATCGCAACAGAGAGGCCTGAGGAAGATTCTGGCAGCCAAAGCTACGAGCAAGTCCCAGCCGGAGGAGGTGGAGGTGGAGGGAGTGACTCAGAGGCTGAATCTTCCCAGTCAAGCTTAGGTATTGGAGGAGGGGTCGCCGGACACCAGCAATGGCATGCAATGGCTGTGTGACAGAAGTGTGCAGGCCCCTTACCCTGGTCTAGGGGATAATGATGCACCCTACAGTAAAGGGGAACAGAATGGGTGGTGGACCAAGGACCAAGGACCAAGGTGGAGGAAAAAGAGGCGTGGTGCCCACAGGGCAAAGCAGACAACAGAGCTTCCTGTCCACCAGGAAACTTGGAAGGAGAGGTGGAGGAATACAGTGCTGTTTCCACCATGGCTTGAGGATCTGGAAACAGGGAACCAGATGACTCTGGGATGGGACTGAGTTTGTTATGGTACTTGTGTATCAAGGCAGCTTATATCATGTGGCTTAATCACGTGTTGCTAAGTATATGTATCTGTTAGTGTCCTGAGGATTTTCCAGTCATTAATAAACAAGTGATTGGGCTGGGGATTTAGCTCAGTGGTTCCAGCGCCTGCCTCGCAAGCGCAAGGTCCCGAGTTCAATCCCCGGTACCAAAAAAATAAAAATTAAAAAATAAATAAATACATAAAATAAACAAGTGATAAAAATGCACACCCTGTTTCAGAGGAACACTAGGAATAATTACCTGTTTGCATTTAGAATAAAACTCAGTTCTCTCGAAGGAAGAACATAAGGACAAAGAGGCTTTTCACAGTACTCTGGGTGTGTACACTGTCCAAGAGCATTTTTTGCCTTTTACAGGACACACCCACCCAGGGCCTAGTTTTCCGAGCTTTCCTCGTTTTCATTTCTTTGAATATCCCAGAGTAGATGCCAGGGATATTCAGAATACATGAGATTGGATTCTACTTCCTGAACCATATAAGATTATCATAGTAACATCCTGATGACACACTTCCTCCTTGAATTAAGTGAGGGCAAATTCATTTGTCAAAAGACAGCTTACACTCTGGGCAAGCAGACACTGTGATTTCCATCCCACGGGGTCTCAGGCATCTGTGGTAATGTGGATATTGGACATTTCTGTGTGACCTCTTAAATGCACATACACAGTTCCACCAACAGTTTTAATTACCACCATTCTATTCATTTTTCTAGACAGACTGATTAAACTACTAGTCTTCTTCTGTTACTAACTTCTTCTTTTGGCTTGCTGAGAGAGATATACTGTAATGGTTAAGCAATCAGAAACATGAAGAAAAAAGGAACAGAAAATGGATTTCTGGGTTTTGATATTGAATCACTTGGGATTTACTGTGTAATAATTGTGAGTCCGCTTTCCAACTCTGTCATAAAATACCTAAGAATATCAACTTTGAGAGATTTATTTTGGCTCATGATTTCAGAGATTTCAGTCCATGTGAACTGCCTTCATCACTTTAGGCCAGTCGTGAGGCAGAACCATCATGGCAGAGGGTGTGGTGGAGGAAAGCTGCTCACTGTAGTCAGGAAGCAGAGAGAGAGCAGAACAGCCAGGGACCAGACATAGTCCCCACGGTCATATCCTTGTGACACACTCCCCATGATACCGTCCCATCACCCTCCCATAATGCCATCCAATTACGATCTCACCTGTGGAGATCTCATCTCAACAGAGACTGAGCCTTCAACACCACGAGTTTTGGGGGGATGAGGCTTTGTAGATAGCAACCATAACACTAACTTGCCCCGTATTTAGTGGCTTGAGCTCCCAACCATGCCTGTACCCCTGGTTCTTCAGGTTGACAGTGTGAACGAGCCCTACTGGGGGGCCTCAAGATGCCACAGAGTTCATGGTAGGATGTCCTGGTAGAATGTTTTATTGCCTGTGGGCTGGCTGATCTGAGATGGCCTCAGCTGGGTTGCTGCTCCTCATGACTTCTCATCTCTCAGCAGACTTGCCAAGCTTGTTTTCATGGTAATAGCAAGGGTCCAAGAAAGACACACAGGCCCCCTTAAGCCTTGACTCAGAACTGACAATTTGCCACTTCTGCCACATACATGCTCCTAGTTGGAGCAGACCACAAGGCCAGCCCAATTCAGCAAGGGGGAGAAAGAAATGCAAAGTCCCATTGCAGAAGGGTATGAGACAGGGAGGGGAAAATTGTGAGCCTTTCTGCAAACAATCACTCATAACCATAGCTAGCTACTTGTAACAAAAATTTAAAAAGTCCCTGGACCTAAGAATGTCTTCTTAGGCAGGAGATATTAGAGGACTCAAGCCTCACTGAAGTTATACAGGAACCCTGTGAGGAAATAATGATTCTTAACTGGTCTATAAAAAGTGATACAAGGTGAGCATCTCTAATTCAAACATTCAAAATCCAGATACTCCAAAAGTCAAAGCTTTTTGCTCATCAATGTGATGCCACAGTGGAAAATTCCACACCATGAAACTTAGGGTCAGGCACCAAATTAATAAAGATATTGTATAACATTACCTTCAGGCTGTATGTATCAGATGTATGTGAAACATAAGTGAGTTTCAGGTTTAGATTTGGGTGTCACTCTCAAGACATCTCATTATGGATCTGAAAATATTTCAGAATCTGAAAAGATTCAAAACACTTCTGGTCCCAAGCATTCTGTTAAGGAATACTCGACCTGTAGGACATCTATCATGTCACTGTTAAAACAACATCTGCCACAGTATGTGGGTGAAGGCCTGTGTGCTGCTGCCGCCACTTACTGTGGGAAAGGAAGTACTATACGGTGCTACCTCAGTTCACGAACGCTTTTGTTTGTGAACAGTGAGGTTCACAAGCAGAAACGTTTGGCAAAATTTTGTTTTTGTTTGTAAAGTCTGCATCAAGTGACAAACATGACCATAGCCATCTTTCCCAGAGTCATGAAACAAATTCAGTTCGTGAACTGAGGTACCAAGTTTGAAGTGAAGTTTTCCCAATATATTCTGTTCCTTTGCTCCACCTTTTTCCAGATCTGAGGAGAGAAGGGTCACTTTCTCCAGTGAATTCACAAAAGATCACCTTGCTGCTGCAGTCCCCCGCTGTCAAGTTCCTCACCAACCCCGAATTCTTCACCGTGTTGCATGCCAATTATGTGAGTGTTCACGACAGGGAGGAGGCCTGGCCTGGCTTGGCTCCTTCAAGACCTAAGGAAAGATTTTTAACATCACTTGATAAATTAAAGAGGTTCGATTTTTATCCATGCAAAGGAAAAAAAGAGATCAGTCCACTCTTTTCACTATCTGCCAGTCCCCCTAAAAGCAAAAGGCTAGATTTGGAAACACTATTGCCTCTTGAGGCTTTTGTTAGACTTGAATCAATGAAAATGCTTCAGAAACAAATATGTGTTTTTATTACTGTTAAAAATTTTCAAATGGAGTCTTTAGTTTTATTTGTTTTCTTTTTCTCTTTTCTTTTTTCTCCGATGGGTTGAACCCAGGGCCTTTGCACTTAGTTACATACATACCTACTCATTTATTTTTATTTTTTCCACATTTTTATTAGTGCATATTGGTTACACAAATTAGTTGTTTCATTTGGGTAGATTTGTATACGCACATAACATACTTTAATCATCCCCTCCCTTCCCTTCTTTATTGTTAAAATTTTAAAAGAACAAGTTTATGAAGTGATCAGATTCCCTTCAGCCTAAGCTATTTTATAAAATAATTTGCCTAAAGAAATTTTAAAATATACTCGATAACTAGGTCTCCTCTTCATATAATTTTTCAAATATCATGCTGACCTTAAATTTGGTCTGATTTCATATATATATTGCTTTTGGGGGGATATTGGCACATTAGCACTATAGTCATTAATTTTCCATTCCACAAATACTGTACTGTCTGTTGTTCAGGCACAGATCTGGGTGCTGGAGTCACAAAGACAGATTAGAATGACACCTAAACAGTAGGTGGCTGTTTGGGAAAATGCAATAGGACAGAGCCCAAGCTGAGACAGGGAGGGGGACACTGGGGAGCAGACACAAGAGCTGATTGCATGGAAGTGAGAAGATGTGTCAGCCGAGGGATGGTGTGATAGGAAGGATGCAGTTAGGAAGGCACCCCTGTGCCTGGAGGTTAGGTGGCTGCAGATGGAGAAACGGTTGGAGGATAAGCAGCAGACACCTTGTAAGCCAGACGGAGGAGCCTGGATCTATTGCAGTGGGCAGTAGGAACCTGCCAGGTCTTAGGTCCTGGGGATATGATGAAGCGTGGTCTCTGCAGAGTGTGGGGAGCCACCTAGGGGCCAGAATTAGAGGCTGATTCAGCTGCTCAGGTGATAGATGAGCTGAGGAAGGGGATGAGAACATGGCAAGGGATGGCTCAGAATAGCCAGAGATTCTCTCAGGGCATCGATGGTGTTTGAGCCCCTTGTCAAAGGTTGTAGAAGTTGGAGACTTAAGAAAGACCCAGTAGTTTCTGCTTTAAGCACCTGACTTAGGTGGAGATTCCAGGAGGCAGGAAGTACAGGGTCTTGGTGAGATGCTGAGAAGGAGGTGGACACTCATGGTCAGGCTCAGAACACCTCCCGGGGGTGCAGTGGGGAACCACCAGAGGGGAGAAAGTGTGGCTGATGCTGAAGCCTCTGCACTACACACTGGGCACCAGGTGGGCTCTGGGACAGGAAGGGCCATTGGGCCAACTCTCCCTGGCTTGTCTGTCACAGTCACACGAGTGCACACACACACACACACACACACACCCTGTGTACCATAAAATTGTCATTTGACACGTTTAGAAACACCTAAAATCTCATAAGCTGATCTCTCCCCTGCACAAGGTTTCACGTAGGATTCAGAGGAATGCCAGACCTTTCAAGTTCAGTCTTAAATTCCCAGGGACCCCGAGGTACTGCCCTGTGTTAGACCAAAGGCAGACCCCTGCAATCAGAGAAGGAATGGGGAAGAGAGGAGTGATGCTCAGGGAGGGGGAGCTCGGAAGAGCCAGTGCAGCTGGGACCAGTGCAGGAGGGCGCAGAGATTTATAGGGCTTGTAGTGCCTAAGGCTGGTGAGCAGTCAGGTCGAATGGGGCTGGCAAATAGGTCCACATGTGTACCTTTACTTCCTGAGCAAGCCCTCTGTTTCTAAGGCCTCCATCTCATGATCACAATAAATCACTGTAGCCACCATGTTAGATCTTGTCAAAGTGCTCCCAAGTCTACTTAGTCTGTATTTTTCCTCATTTCCCACCCTGTCCCCTAATCCACCTCACCCACCCCTCTCAGAGTGCCTACCGAGTCTTCACCAGTAGTACCTGCTTAAAGCACATGATTTTGAAAGTCCGTCGAGATGCACGCAATTTTGAACGCTACCAGCACAACCGGGACTTGGTGAATTTCATCAACATGTTTGCAGACACTCGGCTGGAGCTGCCCCGGGGCTGGGAGATCAAGACCGACCAGCAGGGAAAGGTGAGTTTGACGGATGTGTGGGGCTTTCATCAAATGCTGTAGTTCCCTAGGGAGAAGACTGGGGAGAAACAGAGGAGGGCGTGAGGGGGAAAGTCTGTGTGTCTCCAAGATGTGTACTGGCTGCCAGGAAGAAGGGAAGCAGTGACTGTCAACTTGGGAGTGTTTCAACCTCAGCACTAGTGTTGGGGAGTGTTAGATGAAGGGACTGTCCTGTGCTTTATGGGATGGTTAGCAGCATGCCTAGCTGCCCACTAGATGCCAGTGGCACCCTCCTGTTGTGACATGGCTGCTCTCCTGTTGAGGGCAAGGTCATGTTCTGTGCACTGTTTTAAACTTAGATTTGGTGCAGGAAGCCAACTTCTCCTCAGCACCCTGTCTGCTGCATTGTCTCCTTCGGTAGCTAACTCTCAGGGTAGAAGATTGGTTCAGTGGGGCTATCATTATTACATCCTTGTGATCTCCCTAATAAGACTTCAGTTCTCGTTAAAACAGCCTGGCCAGCAGGGAGGGGGTGTACTGGGCCAGTGTCATGTTCCTGGCCCGATTGCCTGTGTGGCTATAACCCCCATTGTCCTTCCCAGCAGTGCTCTGTGAGTCTAGCTGAGTTCGCCAGAATGAGATTTTCTCCTAATCATCACTGGACTTCTCAATGTATATAGAGGGCAGTCCCAGAAGTTTACTAAAGGATGGTTCCCATGTGACCTTTGATGAATTTTGCCAGAGAGAATCCCTCCCTCTTTTAAGTGTAAGGAAGAGGAAGCTTGGCCAACAGCCATGCCCTTCAGTAGAATCTGCTCTGGACAGCTCTTTGCCCTCATGTGGACCTACAAAGCCATAGTTTCCCAAAGGCAGCTGATGAGAGGCAGCATTGTCCCCTAGGAACCACAAATCCCTCTCCCACAAACCGCTTAGCATGCCTGAGAACCAGGACTACCCAGAGTGTGTGGGCAAAGAATGTGCTACTGATCATTCGTAAGTTTGTTAGTGACTCTAGGACTGCTCCTCTGGAGTGGGTGGTAAATTGCCGAGAGAGGGAACATCCCTATGTAACAAAAAAGCCACCATGGCCAGAAACTACCACCTGGGACCATCTTTAGTGGCTGTGGCCTCCGCTGGAAAAATGAGAGTGATGATATGTGTTGTGAGGCCTTAATGACCATGTCTTAGGGTAGGAAATACGCCTGAGTCAGCACAGAGCATAGAGGAGCATCTTGTTAGAGCCAGAGCACACCTGCCTCATCTCATTAGTCTTCAGTAGCCACATTGCCATGTAGTGCTTAACCAAGACGCCAAGAGGACATGAATGAACCAGTAAACAAAACAGCACTGTTTATTATGCAAAAGTGTATGCTCATGTGCACTTTCCTAGCCTTGGATTTCCGTGACTGCAACTCTTGCACCAGGACAGGAAGCTCAGTGGAATGGTGGGTGTCCAAGCACTAGCCTCTAGTTCTCCATGGTACCCAGCCAACGATATGGTCACCTCTCAGTCATCACACTGACAGAAGCCACAGCGACTGAGACACACACCAAGAGTTTGATTTCATTTCAGAATAGAAACTAGGGAATTTCTGATGAGAGATATTTCCCTTAAAATTCTATTCAACAAAATGTATCGTGTGCAAAAAAAGAAAAAAAATGTGAACTTGAAATGAGAGCACTTTTTTACTTTCAGTTTAACTAGCCATGACTAAACATGTGCACAAAAATGGTTTCACCAGTTCCTCTTTTTTTTGGTACCAGGGATCGAACGCAGGTCCTTGCGCCTGCACAGCAGGCGGCAAAACCACTGAGCTAAGTCCCCGGCCCACCAGTTCCTTATTAATTGGACACACACACTTGTAATGGGCAACCAGAATTTCCAAGGCATACCATGTACGGAGTCACTGAAGTTTAGCTTTCAATTTCAGAAGATATGATCACGGTTATAGGGTTAGAGAGAAACAAGGGAGCCTCATAAGAAAGGAGCAGGGCCTGAGTACCCAGGCCGCTCCCTCCCATTCCGAACACATCACCCTGGGCAAGTCCCCTCACCTCTCTGAGCCGCACTTTGCTCACCATAAAGGAGCAGTAATAATGCCTTCCCTGCCTTCATAATTTTATAACCAGATGAAAAAAATAAGAAATATAGGAACTCACGGAAATACTATGGCAGATTACAAGTGTCTGCTAATCTTATTATTCCTGTAGTAAATGTGCGCCCAAAAAATCATGGAGGAAATTTAAAAATACTTCATTGTCAAAGCACATTGATAATGGGAACAATTGGGAAAAACATTTTGGGACCATATCCTACAGGCTCAATCCTGTAACCTGGAAAGAATGTGTTCCACAGAAGACTGGGAGTTGGAACACCAGATTCACCAACAGTTGGAATGACGGGGTCATTGTGCTACAGCCAGCTTCACAGCTGGCCAGACCAGGTTCCACAATACCAAAATCATCGTCTTGCCCCTCATCCTGGCCAGTCTTCTTGCTTTATCTACATGTTTAGAGATTCCAGCCTTCCCTTTCATTATGCACCATGGCAGGAAGTAGAATGGCTGGGCCAGAGCTGTTTGGTATGTCTGAAGGCACAGTCATCCCCAAAGGGAAACATGAAGAGCTTGGGGCTGTGACAGTCTAGGAAGACTGGAGCAAAGATCAAAATGGCAGCTCATTTCTTTGTCATGTTAAAAACCTAAGAAAGGAGGACGCAGCCTGGGCCCAACTTTGATGGAGACTCTCTAGAGGTCTCATGTCTGGGACAAGGGGTACAGTTATCATACAGGGAGGTGGCGGGTCCTCAGGCACCATGGGTCCTGCCATAGGACAGGCATGGGCCTGAGAGGCCTATAGAGGTGCTACTACATCGAGTAAGCCACATCTTGTTTTGAGGAAAAGTATAATTTTCTTCAGAAAATGGAAGTTTTGAAGATATCTGCTCATCATCCACAAAATGATACATGACTTCTATTAAGTAACAGGAAGAGGGCATAGACTAAAAACAAGCTGAGGAGAAGCAGACAGGTGAAGAGGATGAAAATAAACTTGTTTAAGCTAACGGTAGAGAGATAAACAATAAAACTGACGCTATGGAAAATCAAATCACTGATGGAGCCTATAGTGGAGGAAACAGCACCCAACATAGAAGGAAGGGACCAGATTTCAATTGATGGAAGAAGGGGGCGGTGCAAATCTCTCCTAAAAGAAAACCTTACCTCCTTTTCTATGAGGCCCTTCCAACTACTCAGTTAACTAACACAAGCTCCCTAGACCCCTCACCCATTAACTCCGCTATATAGTGTGTGTGTTCTGTTTCTTGTGGTAGAACCTTAAGCTCCTTAAAAGCAAAAATCTTTGTTTTGCTCATTGATAAAACCACAGAATAGTGCCCAGCACCATAGTTGACACTGAATAAATCTGTTGGCTCAATGATTTATAGAGATTTCTAGAGAAGAAACCACAATAATAGGTATAGCAGCAATCATTAAATAAGTAAATAATAAATATTAATTATGAAGCCTTTGCTAATCTAAAATTATTAAAGTAGGCAAATTAATTGGGCTCATGTAGTTAAAATAATTCAAATATATCTCATAAAGATCTACAAATATTACTTGCAATTAAATGTTTAAAAACTAATTAAATTTTGTACCTGTGCAATGTCTTTAAGTAGGTTTTTAAATCCTATCAGTACATAATCATACTAATATAAAAGTTGCTTACAACAGAATAAAAAGCAGACAACCTCACATTCCTTACCCAAAAACTAAACTCTAGAAATCCACACAGCAATGATTATAACATACTGATGATGAGAAAGGTTTGTAGGCCAGTGATCCTACAGGCAAAGAAAAACAACCTCGTGGGCAAGATCAGAGCTTACCCTATGCTTTCACCTATCCTGATCAAATACCAAAAGCCATTCTCTAAGTGGATCACTCATGAAGCAAAACAAGAAATCAAAATTGGACAAATCACAGTTAAAAGAAGAAAAAAAAAGGACTAGTGATGAAGATTCAGACTACTCCAATCCAGAAATCTAAACATCAATAATTTTTGATATAAACTTTAAAAAATTTATCAGAGAAGCCTGAGTAATATACAGAAAAAGATGCCTAAAAAATAATACAATAACAATTTGGATCAGTGTCCCAAGACTGGAATAAAAAAGATGAAGATGCACCAAGAGGAAGAGTGGGTGAGGAAGGAGAGTTGTGCCAAGGTCCAAGACGGAGGAGGGGACACAGATCGAGTAATTTGCAGAACGAAGACTGCGTGCAGTTGCTTGACAAACTTAGAAGGCAGTTGTTTGGTGCTCCTCTTCCAAATTCCTACAGAAGATAAAATCAAACAAAACATGGTCTGTGTGACAATACCCAATAAAATCATGAAGGAAATGGGAAAAAACAAAAATAAGATAACAAAAGTAAAGTCAAACATAATAGATAGGCCAGTAGGTGGGAACGAGGGTACCCTTACATGCCAAAAGGAAAACATTTTCAGATTTGGCAACAAACAGATCCAGCTTATTAAGACATGTTAAGAAACAATTCAGAAAGTTTAAAAATTGAAGAATATTTATATAATGTAAAAAAACAATAGCAGAAAAAAGCAGTGGCATGTTAATGTTATATAAAGTAGAGTTCAGATCCATAATCATTAAATGGGGTCAGAGAAAAAATTTATATTAATCCATGACACAATTAAAAACACTGTAACCACACAGGTTACAAGCCAAACAACGCTGTATTATATTGAATAAGGAAAAATCAATGGGAAATAAAAAATGAAATAAAATCCTACACATAGTTGTATAAATGTTTGAAATCAATGTTAGAGAATATGGAAAAATCACGTTTTAAAGAGTAAAGTATATAATTGATAAAAAGTTGACTTGGGAAATATGATTTCCTTGATTAAGTGGGATAAGTGAGAAAACGCATTAGTGACTTACTTGCCTACATAGCTTTACTTCAGATGCAGGAAAGATGCATGGTTCATCTTATGAAACAATCCTAATTTTGCTACTAAACCAGACAAACAACACCTATTGGCACAACCTCTGCTCTATCCATGCCACAGAATACCGCTCAGTAGTTAAAAAATAGACCGAAGGCAGCAACATGGATGAAATCAGGAACTTTGCAAATGAAAACGCCATCCCCAAAGTGTTACATATCATATGATTTCATTTATATGACCTTCCTCAAATGACAAAATTACAGAAATGTAGAACAGATTTGTGGTTGGCCAGGAGTGAGGATTGGGATGGGCATGGGGAGGAGGTGGGCGTCATTATAAAAGGGCAGCTTGAAAGAGGCCAGGGGTAAGGAAGCTTCGGCGTGTCTTGGTTGTGGCAGTAAATACAGGGACCTGCGCAGGTGATAAATTTGCATAAAACTATGCACATAGGAGTACACATTAAAAACTAACAATGTTATTGTGTGGTGTTGGAAATTGAACCCAGGGCTTTCATATTGAACTACATCCACAGCCCCCTTTTTAAAAAGTTATTATTTTAAGACGAGGTTTTGCTAAGGTACTAAGTTTAAATTGCCCAGACTTGCAATCCTCCTCGCCTGACTTAGCCTCCCAGAGAGCTGGAATTATAGGAGTGTTCCACCACACCCAACTAAACCTAGACAATGTTAAACCTTTAAAAAAAAAAAAAAACCTATAGGCAAAACTCTCTTGAGTTCCAAAAAGCCAACATTAAAACATGAAATATTATGGGCCAAAGGTGTAGCTCAGTGGTAGGATTCATGTTTAGCATGTGGAAGGCCATGGGTTCACTCTGCAGCACTCAAAAAAGAAAGGGTCAAGTTAAATTAGACAGTATAAAAGTGACCCATCCAATCAAACAGTATTTCTCCAAAAGATTTAAGAGTCATTTACTACAAATAAATATATTATCACTAGCACTTTAATCAATAGTTTATAAACTATTGAGGAATTTCAGCAGATCATTTTAAGAAATGCTAGAAAAGTACTTTAAAAATGCATAAAAATATTGTTAGTAACAATAAAGTCTAAAATATTATATGCTCTCATCAGTATTACAGGAAAGGAAGTAAAAATCTAAAATTTCTTGTGAAGGAGACAAAATTATTATTTGCAAATGAAAATCAAATAGTTTATGTGATAACTTCTAAAAAAAGCCATTCCATCAGTCAACTTTCCGTTATTATGATGAAATACTTGGAATAATCAACTTATAAGGAGGAAAGGCTTGTTTTGGCTTATGCATTCAGAGGTTTCAGTCTATGGTCAGTAGGCCCATGGCTGTGAGGTCTAAGAAGAGGTAGCACATCATAGCAGGAACATATAAAAGAGGAGGCTGTTCACCTCATGGCACACAGGAAGAGGGCGATATCCCAATATTCCTTTCAAGGGCATGTCCCCAGTGACCTAACTTCCTTCCACCAGTCCCTACCTACTAAAGGTCCCACCCCCTCCCAATAGCTCCACAGGCACGGGGACCCAAGTCGTCAATATATGCCCCTTTGCGAGCCATTCAGGATCCAAACTATAGCACAATGTAAATATGTAAAACTGTAAACAGCGTCACATTTAGCAAATGGTCCCCAGTCATCTTCCAATGAAATTAAAGAACAAGAAAAGATTGCAACTGGCCCCTCTCATTTAACAATACTCTAGAACTTCTCACCAGTATTGCAAAAAAAGTAGAAAAGATAAAGGACCCCTTCCAAAGAAGACAAAATCATCATTACTTATAAGTGAAAAGCAAAGAGGATATATGTACCTATACAGTATCTTAGTCGGAAATATGAGTCTTTCAGGAAGACATTAGAACACTTTTACTAAGGGAAAAAAAGGTCTTTCATAGACTTGTTTAGAAACGGGAAATGGATATACTATTATGAAGAATGAATTACCCCCCACATCATTTGTAATCTTAAGGTGATTCTAAGCAAAATCGCCATAGAACGGTTTTAGAATTTAGTAAAATAAATATCAGTCTATCTGAAAAAATAAAAGTAAGCAGACAAGAATACCTAAGAAAATCTTGGAAAAAATGAAGAGGAAACTTGGCCTACACACCTTAGCTGGAAAGCTCACAGACTATTAGGACCCATGATAGGTTCCTGAGACAGAGTGGTGTTAATAAGAAATGTACATGTGATAAAACAGTAGAAAGCAGCTGATTTGGGGAAATGGACTATATGAAAAAATCATCAAGTTACAACTCATACCATACCAAATAAGTTTCAGAAAGATCCAAGTTTGGTGTTAACAATTAATTCACTATTTTTAAAAAGAATAATGCACTTAAAACATTTAACTGATCCCTAGAAAGCAATGACTAAGAGATTTGAGTTCATACAAATGCAAAAATTTTCTGTATTATAAAGCAAAGCATAAAAAAATCAAAAGCCAATGTGAAGACAGGTGTGGAACTAAGCGCACATTTAAATAATAAGATAATACCCAACAACAGCAGAAAAGACCAGCCATAGTAGCCTGTACTTTCTCTAATGAAATAAAAACTATGAGAAAATGGGCTTTTTTTGTAAATTCCATGAATTAAATTATAATTCACCTTTATTTACCATTTAACGTTTCTAAGAGTGCTTACAATTACACAGCATTTTTTGACAGCGTAATGAAAAGGAGCATACAGAATGAACTTCTGGTAAGATGGTAAATCTGTACAGCTGTCATGAAGGTAGTGTGTTAATACGGATCAGTAAGCTCAGATATTTCTCTAACTCTTACCTCAGTAATCAATTCAACTTCCAGGAATTTATAATAGGAAAGATGCATTATGTACCTGTACCAACTCCCTATGATGATTGTAATCATTCTGTACTGCAAATGAACACTAATAAAAATTAAAATTTAAAAAATTACTGAAATATACATAAATATAGGGACCCTATTTAATTTAATTTATAAATTTCTAGGCATGTTCTTGAATAATTAAAAGCCTCCTTTCAGTATTTATTAATTTAATTTATACTTGCATGTTTAGAATCTCATATAAACACAGTTTTATTTTTTATACTAACATTACAATCTTATTCAGATTTTTTTTCAATACTGGGGATTGAATTCAGGGCCTGGCAGTGAGCTACATCATCCCCACCCCTTTTTAAACATTATTTTGATACAGGGTCTCACTGAATCACTAAGTTTCCCAGACTGGATTGGAACTTGCAATCTTCCTGCCCCAGCCTCCCAGAATGCTGGCATTACAGGAGTGTGCCACCACACATGGCTTTTGTTTAGATTCTTACTTGTATTTTTTACATCATTGCCATCACTTGTTTAAAGTCCCCATAATAGTGACTTTACTAAAGTAGTTACTTCATAAAATATTTCAGATGTCATAATTGTTAGCAAAACAGTTTACCAAACTGTAGTTAGTCAGAGCAGTTTGCTGATCATGTTTTTTTTTTTTTGGTATGGGGATCAAACTCAGGACCTTACACTTGGGAGGCAGGCGACACCACCACTGAGCTAAATCCCCGGCCCTGATCATGCTTTTTAAAGCATCAATTACTGAGTCTAATTACTGAGCACTTCCCCTTCAGTTCTGGTAGGACAGACAGCCCATATTGAACCTGTGTGGGATGCTGTCTTGTGGGATTTTATTGCAGACCACAAATACCAGCTCATATGTTGTTAGAGTTGTTATTTAGCTTTGTCCTGGTGGCGGGGTGGGGGTGGGGGCATTTGTGATCTTCAAAACGAAGCAACTTCCTTGTATGACTTTTTGCAGATATCTTTGAAACCCTTGTTTACTATGACATCTAATACTTGAAATTATCAGCTCCGACCTCCCAAGAGTAATTTCTAAATCTATCAAGTGACATCTAAAAATATCTAAAACTAGCAGCGATTGAGGTCATTTAAAGCGCATGTCTTCAATCAACATTACACTTTGTTCAAAAGAGAACAATTGAAAGATTGTCCTGTAGTTTAGAAAGATGTTAAAAATAATAACTTTCTCTTGTATAAGAGGTAATTTTAAATTTAAAGAGTAGCTTTTGCCATGTATTGGAACACACACAATAATCAGACATGCCACGAGGATTTATGTACAAGAGTCTTTATTGAAACATTATTTTAAAATGGTAAAAAAATGTCAAACATTCAGCCATGAAGGGAACTGAAATTATTATATATCTGTCAAACTTAACACTCTTTACTCATTAAAGCTAAACATTAGCCATGAGCACACACATGTAACCCCAGCTACTTGGGAGACTGAGGCAGGAAGATTTCAAGTTCAAGGTCAGCCTGGGCAACTTAGTAAGACCTTGTTTTAAATAAAAAATAAAGAGTTCTGTGTGGTATCGCTCAGTGGCAGAGTGGTTGTGTAGCATGGCAAAGCCCTAGGTTCAGGACTGTGGGTTGGATCCCAGTACCAGGGGATCTCTGTGTTAGAATACTTAACAACTTAAGGAAAGGCTCAAGAAATAAAAAGTGAAAATTCTTGTAATAAAATTATACATTCGGACATGGAAAATGTATAGAACTATGCATATATGCATAGGAAAAGACAAAACTAGATATGGAGAGCACCAAAATATTTTGGCAGTTATCTTTCCCTTGTGCTATTTGGGGTGATTTGGGTTATCCCGTTCATTCAGCTAATGCGCGCACAGGCACGCTGTACCTGCAGGCCCATCTAGCCGGATGACTTTGGAGTAGATTGCAAGAGGTGTGGCAGGGGTGGGGGAGCAGAAAGCAGCCTAACACATGGGCCCTGTCCCGTTATAGACCATCTCCACACCTTTTCACACTGTGCTTCGTTTCCCTGCTTGTCTGCAGTCTTTTTTTGTGGACCACAACAGTCGAGCCACCACTTTCATCGACCCCCGCATCCCTCTCCAGAACGGCCGCCTGCCCAATCACCTGACTCATCGCCAGCACCTCCAGAGGCTCCGAAGTTACAGCGCCGGCGAGGTAATGCTGTCTTCACCCCTCCCTCCACCCGCACTGTGCCTGGTGCTCTGGAGGGGCAGAACTATTCGTGGCTGGGATCTAGAGCTGCCTGCTCCGTCAGAGAGGAAGCCACGTGCATAGTGTGCTCTAGAATAATAAGTGACTGCTATGGGGCACCCATGGGACTCCCTCAATCTGCCTTCTAATCACCTTCCTTCTGCTCTCCCTTTGTCCAAATCACCACCACTAAAAATCTCTCCAGTTTAAAGGAAGCTGAAAAGGCCATGTTAGGAGATCCTAGCACTAAATGCTAGAGCTGTTCTTCCTACCAGTCACGTGTGTGTGCTTACAAGATCATGGCTTACTGTGCACTCCATGTGCATAGTCATGCACTCCATGACTGATTTTGAACTGCATCTCCATAAGATCCTGGAGAAGACTTCAGTAGTGTCTCCATGGACTAAAAACTAGGGAAGTGAGCCAGGTCCTATGAATAGTCTACTCTCAACCTGCTGTATCATCTTCCCTGGTTTTATATCTTCTTTCACTGCCATGGATGGTTTCCTTCTACTGAGCCATGAAAGGTGGCACTTCGTTGTCCTTCTGCATTACTCCCTAGACCCCATACTTTTCCTGTCTTTCTTTCTCAAGCCAAAACTGACATCAGTCAGTTCTATAGGATTGTGAGCAAATCCCTTCTTATGTCCTCACTGACGTTTCCCAAGAATCTATCCCTCTTCGTAGAAACCACCAGGATCTCAGGAGATGTAGGCTTAGAAAACCACTTCCTGTAAGACAGCTTGTAGTATTGGATTATTGTGAGGCAAAAATATGAAAAAAAGTGATATAGAGGAAGAAAGGAGTAGAGAGAGAAAGGCATGTCAGGGAGAGCCATTGTGGACCTCTCAGGGGAAACTGGAAAAATGATGACCCACCCAACAGCCATTCCCTCCAGGTAGGGAACATCAGTCTCAAGATGTTGTTGACTTATTGGAACTAATTATTTACTACTTTTTTGAAAGTAGTTCTCTGTGCACTCTGAGAGGCATAACTATTTCTAACCAGAGGCACTCATGGCTTAATGCCAGTGTGACAAAATAAATTTTTCTTTCATGGGCCATCTTAAGTAGTTTTGTTTCAGGACACTGCTAAAAACATGTTAAATCTTTCTTTCTGCATATAAGTAAAGTGTAGTTTTGGCCATGCAGAAAAGGAGTATTATATATCCCTGAACATTATGTGGATGTTGGGATTCTCTCGATGCAGATGATTTCCAACTAGAGAAAGCAGTGGCCCAGCTTCCCAGCTCGGCGTGCATATCCCCCTCAGTGGTGGCACTTTTGAAACACTTGAGGAAGTACAACATACAGTTTCAAAGATTATAGTGAATAGATTCAAAACTCTGCATCAACTTGAAATATGCCATTTTAATGTATTTAAAATGCCCAACCTCCTTAATATGATGGCAGTAATATCAGTAATAATATAGGGTAACTATGGGTAAGAAAGAAGCTGAGCACAGCAGACAGATTTACCACCAATAAAACAAAAACATCAAGCACTCGATGGAAGATTGATCTCCTAAAGACATAGATTATAAGAAATCATCCAATTATAAGAAATTCATCTGAAAATATAAATATTAAAAAACTTTCTAATGGAAAGAACAAGATTGAAGCCAGAGTACCATTTCCATTACCTATTCCGAAGCATTTATTTGATATGAGTGAACAACCAAGTATAGTTCCTCTCATATCAACATAATAGCAAAGTGGCACCAGCATCAGCAAAGAACCAGCTGGAAGACTAACATGTGACAGTGAAAGGGCATAATGGTGCATCCACCATCTGTCTCCTTCCTAATGCACCCACTCCAGACTCACTCTGAACGTTAGATGTTCAAACCTCACCCATCTGTCTGCCCATCCCATCCCTCCAGGTAAAGTTGTAGACCAACATGGAGAAACCAAGAAAAACAATAGAGAGCAGGTGGGAGGCAGAGGATGTCTGATCTAGAGGCAGCACAGCAAAGAAAACAAAGAGTCCACTTCGAAGAAAACAAATATGTGGTTCTTCCTGCTGTGACAACCCTCAGCTTAGGGAATGAAGAGACAGGAGGGACTTTGCTATAAAAACAGAGGAGGGACACCATGAGTCATGTGGACGGTGTTTGCTATAATGTGTTCTTGCTCACCAAACACTGATTTGGGCCATATCTTGCTATGAGCATTGTGAAATGCAAAAGTGTGAAACAATTGTTTCTGTTCTATTTTTGAAGCCAGGCTAAAAGTACAGAGTTGAGTGACAAGAGAAATAAGAATATGATTGAGTGCCATGAGAGACATTAGGACAAGTGCCATAGGCGTTCAGAAGAGGCCAAGGATAGTAGGTACCTTCTAAAATAAAGTATCTGACCTGGAACTTGGGAACTGGTAGCCTCCAGCCAGGCACAAAGGAAGAGAAAGGGCAGCCCTGCAGACAGCACAGAATCAGCAAAAGTGCAGAGGCAGGATGAGGAAAGATCTACAGGAAACAGTAGATCGTTCATGTGACCCCCACTGGCTGTGTCTTGGTTTTGGGAAGGCTTTACACACCCACTAGAAGAGCACATGGAATGAATTTGAGGAAGATATTGTGATGATTTTCATGTAAAAATGCTCATTAGAGATCATTTCACCTATTGCTTCTCGACAGGGGGACTTTTGGCATTTGGGATCAGGACAGTTTCTGAGATGTGAAATTGTCCCATAGCATTCCAAGACCTTTGCTTCCTATCCTGTCCATTAAATGTTCAAAGCGACCCCATTTCACCAGTCATTGTGATGGTGACAACAAAGGCAAAAATAAAGCAAAACAAAAAGCCCTGAACTAGTCAAGATTCTTCAAGAAACAGAACCGGTAAAACAGATGGATATGTGGATAAATGGATAGATAGATGAGTGGTGATGAAGTTAACTGGTTTATGCGTTTATGAATCTGAGAAGTCCCACATACGCTTTCTGCAAATGGAAGAACTAAGGAAGCTGGTGGCAAAACTTAGTTCAAGTCCGAAGGTCTCAGACCCTGGGGACTGGTGGTTCAAGTCCTGCACTCTATAGGCCAGAGAGCCTGGGGTGTTGGTATCCAAAGGCAGGAAAAGAAGGGTGTCCCAGCTCCATATGAGAGTATTTGAATTTGCCTTTTTCTGCCTTTCCGTCTGTCAACCATTCACTCTGGGTGAGTGGACATTCCTAACCACTCTGTAATTCCAATGCCAGTCTCTTCCAGAAACACCCTCAAAGATACACTCAGAGACAATGCTTTACCAGCTATCTGGGTATCCTTCAATGCCAGCAGTGGACACCTAAAATTAGCTGTCATACCCCTAAGCATTTCCAGCCCCCAGCCAGGTAGTACTACCACCCTGGTTAAGAATCATATTTTATAGTTCAGCAAACCAAAGAACTCAAGTCACTCAGGGAGTTCAGGAACACAGCTCAGATTTCCTAATCCTCACCCTGTAAACTGGAATCTTTAAAAGAAGACTGTAAAGGGCAGGAAGGAGGACTGTGCAGGATTTGAGGGAGAGGCCCCATAGAGGCCATTGCCACAGTCCAGTGGGAAGTGAGGAAGCCACTATCATTTGGATGTTGAATGTCTCCCAGAGGCCTGGGTAGTAAAGGCTTGTTCCTCAGGCTATGCTACGTGGAGGTGGTGCAAACTTTAACAGTTGGGGCCTAGTGGCTGGTAGTGTGGCTTAACAGTAGAGTGTGTGCTTAGCAAGTACAAGGTGCTAGATGCGATCCCCAGCAACCACCCCAAAATTGAGTCGTTGGGGTCATGCCCTTGCATGAAGGACCCTGGCCCTCTCCTCGCTGTCTTTTGCCTCCTGGCTATGAGATGAACGACTTCACTCCACCATACTCTCCCATCATGATGTGCTGCTCACCACAGGCCCAGAGCAATGCGTCCAATCACTCATAGACTGGAACCTCCAGAACTATGAGCTAAAGCACTCCTTTTCTCTCTATACCTTGATTATCTGGGATCTTTTGTTACAGTGATGGAAAGCTGACTATTGCCAGGCCCAAGTCAGGGTGGCAAAAGAGGGAGAAGACAAAGGTTCACGGGTGTGGAGCAGAGTGTAACTGGAGCTTCATCAGCAGATGGGAGCCCCAGTGCCGGCTTCTCCTAGAGGAGCCACGTGGCTTTGCACCTCCCTTTCCTTTTGGGTGAAAGAGTACATAGGGTTGTAACTCTCAGACGCATTCCCTGTCAGTAAGGAAATCACTGAAGGTTAACAACTGTGTTCTGTCTTTACTGTAGTTAATAGTATCATTTAATATTTATAAGGAAAAATAAGCAGAACACATCATTTTTATCACCTTATCTCTTTCAGGTTAGGAAAATCACTAGTCATAGAAAATTTCTGGAGATAGACACATAAAAGCTTAACAGTGGCCACCTGCCTTGCAAGTGCAAGGTCCTGAGTTCAGTCCCCGGTACCCCCCCCCAAAAAAGCATAACAGTGATCGTTCCGGGGAATGGCAAAGGGGCTGGCAGGGAAGAGAAACTTTTGACTTTAAAGCAGACATGACCTCAGTGACTCTTAGCAGTGAGCTGCTTTTACAGCAAAAGTCACTGCATAGGCTCTGTAGACATAGAGGAGTTTTCTTGAGGAAAGCTCGCCTTTGGAGAAAAAAGTAATTTCTGCATTGCTTCTTAAAATTGGTAGATGTCTTCTTCATGCTATATGACCTATACTTTATGATAGGTTTTGCTGGAAGTTTGTAAAATTCAGACACCTTTGAAAAGAAACTAATTATAAACAATATGTGATGAGGGTAGAAAACATGGACAGATAAGGTAAGCATCTGGGGTCAGTCCTCAGTGCCTTCAGAAGTGGGAGATTGGATCTCGGTGTCTGTGCCTCTGCTTTACCATTATGAAACCTTGGAGGTAATTCACAGGCCTCACATGTCTCGTGTGATATTTCACTGTGTGGATCTATTATCACTTAATTCAAGGATTTCTGCATACGTTATGTTTTTTGCCCACTTTTCACTGCTCCATTAAACAACCCAATGTATCCAACAACCCGTATCTAAATCTGTTTTGTTTCCATAAGGAAATTCTGAAGATTTTGTTGATTTGGTTTTGTTTGACATTACTGGGGAAGGAACCAGGGCCTTACAGTACTGAGCTATGTCCCCTGCCCTATTTATTCATTCATTCATTCATTTATTAATTTATCCTTTTATGTGTTTAATTTTTATTTTTGATACCAAGGATCAAACTCAGGACCTCGTGCTTGCAAGGCAAGCACCTGGCCCCTGTATTTAATTTATTTAGAAACAGGGTCTTGTTAAGTTGCCAAGGTGCCCAAACTGGGCTCAAACTTTGCATCTTCCTGTCTCGGCCTCCCAGAGTGCTAGGTCTATAGACAAGAACCACCACTTCCAGCTGAAAACTTTGTTAATGATCCTTTTTTTTTTTAAAGCACACAAGGTATCTAATGATTATGGAAATTCATCATTTGAGCCTTTCCTCTGATTTTGTTTTTTTAATCGTCAGGTCTCCAGAAAGAAGATTAGCTGATCATTACCCAAATGCTGTCCTGCAATTTTCAATCGCAGCTTTTAAAAAGCATGCTAGTATACATGCCTACATCGCAGTGCTGAGGATAAGCTTGCATACCAGTCACTGGAAGCTATTTTCTGAGAGTATCAATTCTGTTTTTTCTGGAAAGCTAAATGTTTGAAGTTTACATATTTACAATTATGACTAAAGCAATCAACATATAAAAAATATTTTTAAAATCCTAAAAGTAGGCTCTACTTACCCAGTCATAGAATAATCAATCGTAGCATGTCTGGGGAGAGGCAAGCCACTGGGGGACATTCTCATTCTGTCTCCCTCTTTCACACACACACACACACACACACATACACACACACAAAACCACACACTTACCCTGAGAAACCCAGGCCAAAAGGGCCAAACAGCAGAAAATTTGACTCTTGTACTGTTGGTGTTAAATGAAAACTCCAAGCTTCTAGTCACCTTCCGTTGTTGAAAAAGCAACGTTGGCATCAGGTTTGCAGGGAAACTCAAGTCAGTTCTTTGGGATGGATTGTTTAAACCCGAGCAGGGCGAGTGCATTCTAAATTCTAGCTAATTTTTAGAATCCCCAGAATTTCCTGAAGGTTTGATGGAAATTGACTTCCTCTCTATCAAGTCCTGGGTCTCAAATTGCAAAAGACTCTTTCTGTCTCACCGTGCTGAGATCTGGGCTCTGAGTTATCCATGACCAGCCCTTGACAGATGTTTGTGCCTCAGGGAACCTCAAGCCTACCTGTCTCCCGTGTTTCCTCCAGCTCACTCAGAGGTGACCGGAAGCCTATTTGTCAGTCTGCCTCTGGGGTTGCTGGACTTGATGGGGATTCTGAATTTCCCAATCCAGTTTAGTTTTGCAGTGAGCAGGTGACCTCGGGAAGTAGGCGCCATTTTCCCCTAAGCATATCTACAACACAGGACTTTCCTGCGAGAGCTTGGATGAGAAGGGAGCTCTTCCTGTTTCAAAACCCTATTCATTTTGGGGTGACCCACTAGATACGTTCACTTGAGGTGAGACAGCAGGGGTCTCTTGAGTTCAGTACACCAAGCCTCCTCAATCTCAGATTCCAGATCTATCTACTTCTCCCATTTCTCTCTGTAACTGATCACTTAGATGATGTACAATTGAGTGGTCTTTGAGAATTCTGTCTTTTCATCATCAAACATATCTTAAGCACACATTAAGTTGGACCTGACAGTTCTCTCCCAGGAAAAGAGCCATATTGTTTCAGTCCCAGAGAAATTTTACACATTAATTAATTTATGAAGGAAAAAGAGAAGTGTGGGGACTCCATACTCCATAATCTATTAGTCGGTAAACCTCTTTCACCCTTTTTCACAGTAACCATTTAATTGAGACTGGGAAGTGCTGCTGCAGAAATAGCAGCTTCCAAATCGTGGTGTCTGAGCCAGGCATGGTGGTGCACACCTATAATCCCAGCACTCCAGGCACTGAGGCAAGAGGATCGCTTGGAGTCTGAGGCCAGCCTGGACTATATAGTGGGTTCATGGACAGCCTGAACTACATAGTGGGACCCTGTCTCAAAAAATAAAATAACAAAAAAAATTCTTAGTGTCTGTCTGGGCAGAGCTGAGAGCTAATGACAACAAAGTGAAAAATTCCCCAAATTGGTATGTGCTATTTCCATCTCCACCAAGTGAGCCATGGGCAATAAGAAGGACCAGGAGAGAGAGAAGATGGTGGTGCACCCTTCACACTTCCAGAAGAGCAGTGAAGGCTACCACCTGCAGATAATGAAATGGTAGCACGTCGCTGTTTACAAAGGATGCTATTCTTGGTATGAAGTGTAAAAATAAGACCCAAAGGAATGCCAGCAATTACGATGATTTTAATTAGAAATGGCTATTTGTCTGACATTGCAGATGGCCTAGTCTTAAATGACCAGTGTGAAATTGACTTGACCTTTCTAGACTTTGTGTTAATTTGTAAATTCGGTTTCATCTTGCTTCTCTTGCAAAATTTATGAGGATAGGAAATACTCAATATCTCAATTTTAAAATTTAATAGATCCTCCAAGTTCTAAATCAGGAGAATAAGCTTTCTATCATGATACCATGGGCATTCAGCAAAGAATTTCCTTTGAGAGTTGCCAGCCCTTTTTGTAAGAGCAAATTCATACCACATTCAGTATTGAAGTTCAGTGCTACCTCTTGGAAATGATACAATTTATGTGGAATTTATCTCTCACATAGTTCTGATGAGAGCTGTTTCTTAGTCTATTCAATGTATTTAATAACATCCATGACATTTGTCACAATCGCTTTCTTAACTATAATATATAATACATCAAACACTCAATCATTTTTAAGAAACTTGTTTATTTTTTCATTATGTGAAAGATTGTAACTTTATTATTTTTTTAAGCTTAGATGATGTCAGCATCATTTACCACTCATGTTGAAAAATTGTTATCAAAAGATCATCTGAAATTGATGACAGATTTTCAGTCTTACACTTTTATTTTTAAATTAGGCCTCAGAAGTTTCTAGAAACAGAGGAGCCTCTTTACTGGCCAGGCCAGGACACAGCCTGGTAGCTGCAATTCGAAGCCAGCATCAACATGAGTCATTGCCCCTGGGTATGTATTCATGTTTCTTTGCACCTCTGGCCACCCAGTATTTAGCCTTGTTTTCTTATCATGAATCATTTAATACTTAAGAGTCTGTGTTTTCTCTCTCCCCTGTTATGACACTTTCTCCACAGCCTTTTGCTCCTATACTCTTGTCCTTTTCCTCTTCCTTTTCCCCTCACTGTGTCTTTCTCCCTTCCTTCCTCTCTCTTCTCTTTCCCAGACCCTCACAGATCTTCTTCTTTATCCTATTCTATGATTTTTTGCCTCCATCCAGAAGAGTATAGTTTAAGTGCGGCAATGGGCTTCACTGTTGCAAGATGCAGTTTTCAGTTTATATCTCTCTTTCCCTGTATGGATAGGAAGAGCTGGCATAGCTTTTATTCCTAACCTCAGCTACCTGTTTCTGGAACACAGACCACTGTCTGAAAGGAAATGAGGCGAAAGAGTCTGAATTGTGGGTATTTCCATCATCACAACAGGGAAAACAGTAACCTCAGCCATGGGTTCTATCAAGTGCTCAGGAAAAATTTCTTAGAACTCATGAAAAATCTACTGCCACAATAACTGTGGCAAGAGAACCAAGAAAAATTAGAAGTGAAGAGAATGCTTCTTACAGGAAAGCTATTTCATTCTCCTTTACCTGTTTCCACAGAGATGAGTTCACACCTAGCAAAGTACCTGACATACTGTGAATGATCACTTAGACCTTGTTCACCTTTAGTTTGAGCTTTCAGAAATAATAATGCTATAGTTCACATTTGAAAAATAGAAGAGCTTACTTTTTTTTGATGAGTGCTTCAGGCTTCTACATTCATTCTGCTATCAAGCGGGCAGCTTCCAGGCATCAGAGAAATTATCTGTGGCTGCAGACTCAACCACAACTCTGCACTTTTGTCTGTTTCAGCATATAATGACAAGATTGTGGCATTTCTTCGCCAGCCAAACATTTTTGAAATGTTGCAAGAGCGCCAGCCAAGCTTGGCGAGAAACCATGCACTCAGGTAGGCACATCCCTCACCCCCTTGGACTCCCTCGTTGCATTGCTGGTGGTAAAAGCTCTCTGTGGAGAGAAAACAGAGGCTTATGAAGCATTTTACCCGTGCATTTAAATTCCAACTTAAATATCCACAATGAAAAGCCCAGGGCTACCAGTGTTCTGGAAAATGGCACACATGTGGTCATATTGATGAGTTATATGTTAGTTTTGTGATGCTGAAGTGATGCCCATTGATTCTGAGCAAAGCACAGAAAAGGAACAACATAGCTTTCATAAAAAAGTATTTCTGGTGGCATCAGCCTATAATTCCAGCACTCAGAGAAGCTGAGGCAGTAGGATCATGTTTTGAGCCCAGTCTGAGCAACCGAGTAAGACTCTCTCACAATAAAAAAATTTTAAAAGAGGGTAGGGATGTAGCTCAGTGCAAGGCCCTGGGTTTAATTCCCAGTACCACAATAAATAAATAAAAATTATGTAAAGCACTATAAAATTCTGTTTTAATTTTGAAATACAGTTGTTTAATGGTAAACCAAACATACAGGGACCATACTCAAATGCAAAAGCAAATACAAAGTTCAGTGGTACCTCCCTTCATGAACTTGATTCTTCCCACAATTCTGGTGGCAAACTGAGTTGGACGAGAACCGAGTCAAATTAAATGGTTAGGTTCAATGTTGACCTTACTGGGAAATTTGATTTGATGTTTGTCTAGTTTGGTCTGCAGCCAGAATCGAAGAGAGAATTCAGTTCATGAACCGAGGCACCACCGGTATCCAGTATGTTGTAGCTACCTAACTCCTAATATCCATTAGGGTCATTCTTGAAACTGAATTACTTTGTCTGATGAGAAGGCTGGCCTCCTAAAATGACAAAAAGAAAAGTGTCTCCAAACCTCAGTCTTTGTTTTCACAAAGAAGTTCAAACACCTGCGCCTTCAGTGGACACCCTGAGGATATTTGGGAGTTGAGGCTGTGCGGCGGGGAACTGGAGCTCTTACTCCAAGCCCAGGAGCTGCTGACCCAGACACGTTACCCAGTCCTCCACCCTCGCCTCCTCGTTACTGGCTCTGGTCTCAGTGTGGCCATTGCTGAGATGCTGAAGTGAGGATGTGTGGAAGCACTGGCCAGGCACGTGGGGACCATGTCGATGATGGCCTTTGCTTCTTCCTTTCCCATCTGATGGAATCGAGGACCTGGCTGGTCCCTGTAACATCCTCTTCCCTTTCGTCGGTCAGGTCTTTGCCAACCCCTCCAGATTGCTCATTCACTGCTCTTCCTCCTGCTCGCCCCTCAACACTGCTTTTCCCTGCAGTTTCACTCTGTGTAAGTTTGACCCATCACCACCCACCCAGCCTCCCCACCGCCGCTGGCCCTGTCCTCAGCTCCTCCCTCCTGGGTAACGTTTACCTCTGCACATTCTCTCCTCCACTCCTTCTCCCTGCCATGGTTTGGGTTTGGATCCTTACTGGTTCTCCGCTGCACCTTACAGGAGTCTCTCATAAGATAACCCGTTATCACCCCACCATGGCCAGCTAACTTCCAATCCCACAGATCGAATTTTGTCCCTACTGCCCTTCAAAAAAGACTCCAGAGACCCCATGATGTAGGAAATAGATAAGCACAGGATCCTTTAGTCCATGGCCTGCAAAGTCTGGCCCTCACCTAATTCTCTATCCTGAGCTCAGTTTGACGCTCCTGGAGTCTTCCACTCACACCAGACAGCCTGTTTTCTCTTCGACCTTTGTCCTTCCTAGATGCCTTTTCTGTTATGGGCATCTCATCCCATCGCAGATCAAATGTAGAAACCCAGCAACCAGGCAGACTTTATTATTTCTTTTGTCTGGCTTTAGTAACATTCACTTGTACCTCTAAGATATATTTAGATCACATATTCTGTTGTTTACTGTATCTCTGTATACAACGTCGCAGAGGGACCTCTGTCTTCTTCAACTTTATATCTGCTCTGCCCCTCAGAACTTTGTCCTCTACCTTTAGATGAAGACAGGAAATGCTAATTACTTTCAGAGTAAGTAAAAGATCTTTAGCATGAACACATCAATGTTAGTGTGAGAAATTATCACCTTCACTGACACATCTTACATAAGAACTTTAGCACAAGACATTCTTGCTCTCACTTACATTGAAGGGGGTTTGGGTTTATTGTTGATGTCGTGGGAATTGAACCCATGGCCTCACTCGTGCTGGGCATGTGCTGTACCACTGAGCCATATCCGCAGCCCCTGGTAAATGCTTAAGAATTGCCTACTTGAGTTTCATTAGTGTACCACAGAGGGCAGTGGCATGCTTGGTCTTTTATCCAGGGGCTGCTCTTTAACAAACATACATACATAACAGACATACATACATAACAGACATACATAACAAAGTGGGAATTTTCAAGGGATTTCCAGGGAATTGTATTATCTGAAAAGACTCACATATTTCGGCTCTTGAATAGTTTTTGTTACTGATTCTATCAGTAAGTAATGTCAATGCCTGGGTTGTTTGTTTGTTTGTTTGTTTGTTGGAGGACTTTGAACTCACCAAAGGAGCTAGAGTCCCTTTTTTTAAGAGTCCCATTTTAATCTTTAGAAAAGTTTTTAAAAATATTAATCCCCTGTGCAAAAAGAGTAGAAAGTCTTTCCAAAGGAGAGTGAAATGTTTTAGCCCTACAGTGTGATATCACATTATAACAAACTCCAAGAAACTTTAGAGATTTTTGTCAAAGTGCAGAATTGTACAGTTATGGAGAGGACTTGACATCAGAGTGTATTGGGAGGTATCTAGGGTAGAAATAACCTTTTTAAGGTTATGGATGCCTTTGAAAATCTGATGCAGGCTATTATAGACTCTCCCCCATGTGTAAACATAAATCTGTGCATAGAATTTCAAGCAGTTTGTGGACCCTAAGGAGACTCTGGCCCCAGGTCGAGAGCCCAAATATCCCATCAGAAACCAAAGGCCCACGGTGACTATCAGAAATGACCGAGAGGGCCTAGCACTCAAAGGCAGAAAGAAAAGAACAGGAACTTTCTGTTCAGGAGGTCAAGGCCAGGGGAAACAGGAAGCTGGGGCTGCTCCCTAAGACTAAGCTTCTCCCTGCCCCTGAGTGCCGTATGAGAGGAGTCAGACCCATCTAATGGTCTGAGAATTGGAAAGAAAACTCCCTCTCCTCAGGACCCTGCCCAGAACAACTTACTGCTTCCTCCCTGGTCTTCAGGTGGGGACCTGACATCAGTTCAGCCAATGTTATTCTCAGGGAGACAGGAAATCTCTCTCTTCAGTCCACCAAGCCAGTTGGAATTCTCAGAAAACTATTCAGCAGACAAAAGTGAAAATATAAACAAGCCACACTCAGAGAGAGACAATGAAACCAGAAAACAGAGGTTCATTGGGATCTCTTTAGGTGTAAAGGGCATGGCAGCAATCCTGAATCCTTCAGTCTTGCCTTCAACTAGTATTTTTAGTGTGCAGCTATCCTGATAATGTATTAAGTGTCATGAACACCGTGGTCAGAAATTAGTGATAGTAGATAATTTCCTGGTGCAGAAGACAAGGCCGTACATCCTACATAGAATACAGGCAAGACTTCTTTCTCTGAGTAGGTCGTGCTTAAGCTGAAACCTGAAGAATGAGAAGGAATTGTTCCTCAGATCCAAGGTGGGGGCCAGGGAGAGTGTGCAAAGTCCCTGAGATAGGAAAAGCTTGATGTCCATGCAGGACAAAGGAAAGGCATCGCGGCTCAAGGATAGGCTGGGAGAGATGGAAAGCCCATGGTGATGGTGGAGAGGGAGGCCTGTTGACAGTGGAAAGGAGCTGGGATCATTCTTTGAAATGCAGTTTTATTTGAGAAGCAATTAAAACGTGTTCAGCAGGAGTGAAATATTATTGCATTTGTGTTTTTAATGATCTCTAGCACTGCTCTATGGAGAACAGCTAGGTTGGATGAGGGGCATAAGATGGAGCAGATGCTATGCACCAGACGATTAGATTAATGCACGTGAGAGGTGATGGTCATGTGGATGCTGCTGAGCCATGGATGGAGAGGAGGAACATCTTGGGGATACAGAGATGGTGGGGGATGATGACAGAATGGGTATGGTGGGCAGTGAGGAGTAGGGGACAATCCAGAATGACAACCAGGCCCCCAGCACCAAAAACAAGACAAAAGAATGCTAGTCAGAAGCTGGGCATGGTGGCACACTCCTGTAATCCCAGCACTTGGGAGGCTGAGGCAGGAGGATCACTATGAGTTCAAGGTCAGCCTGGCCTACATAGCAAGACCCTATCTGCAAAAAACCAAGAGTGAGGGGAGGATACGAGAATGAAGGGCAGTCAGAACTACACACAGCAGCCAAGATGTAAAGACAGCCTAGGTGCCCATCAAAAGATGGACAAAGAAACTGTGGTATTCATACACAGTTGAGTATTTTTCAGCCATACAATAGAGCGAAATTTTGTCACTTGTCAAAAAATGGATGGATCTGGAGATTTGAGTTGAATGAAATGAGCCAGACAGAAAGGCAAATCTAGCATATTCTTCCTAATATGTAGAATGTAAAAAAGATGACAAGAAAGTAGAAGGGAGACCATTACTACACAAGAGGAAGGGAGTAAGGAGGAGCGGGTGTAAGAGCAGACAGTGGGGAGATGAATATAATCCAAATACATTATATGCATGAAACCTCCCTGAAATGTGACACTGGGGGGAAGGTGGAATAAGGGGGTGCAGGGAGGAATTGATTAAAGTATGTTATGTGCATGTATGAATACATGAAATCTGTATAACCAACATGCACTGTTAAAAAAAAAGATGTGGAAAAAATGCCAGCCAGGTATGGGGCTTCTGCAGGTAAATGGATAGTGGCATCATCTACCGAGATGGGAAAGAGTGAAGGAGGAACTGGCTTGAGTAGAGGAAAAATGATAATGATTTATTTCATTTTGAATAGTGGGTTTTGAGGCCACAATGGCAAATGTCAAAGAAGCAGGTGGCTCACTGGTCCAAGCCCTGAGTTGAGAGTGCATGCGAATTTTCCTGATGCCCAAGGGACGAACGGAAGAGAGACAATTGGTATTATCACCTTCAGATATCTTCTCCTGTTCTCAGCTCTCTTGGAATGGGGTCCCAGGATGTTTGGAGAAACCTCACACCCTTGAGTCTAGGTGAGATGCTCAAGATGATAAAGGGTACATGTCAGGTGGGGAGTCACCTACACCCCAGGGAAACTGCTTAGCATTCAGACATGCGCTCGTGATTCACGTGAGCGGCACAATGATAGAACTACTGCGCTGAGAGGCACTTTCTGTGCCCGAGTGGAGGTAGCCCTCTCTGGACTTCCTTTCCCTTAGGGACCTTGAGAATACCCTTTTCCCCCCCAGCAGAGAGACCAGGGTTTAACCAGATGCAGTCCCTTGGGACAGCAGGATAACATGCCCTGTGGATGTTACCATTGGGAGAACATATAAATTAGACAGTCATTTGTGGAGCTGAAGGCAGTAAATCAGAGGAGCAGGTCCAACATGCTCTTCTTCTTCTTCCAAAGAAGAGAGCTAAGAGGTGGCATCAGGACTTGGAGGACAAAGGCAGAGAGAGAAGCAGGTGGTGGTGGGAGCTGGCAGTTGTGCCCTTGGCTGGGCTTGTGCTGCGGCAGGTGTGGTCCATTCTCCATGCCCCAGGTAAAGCCGCTGTGAACATCCTCAGGTTTGGCTCATTGCATTTCCTGCAGCGATGCTTTACCCAGACGGAGAGGTTGAAGTCCAAGGCACTTCACTGTTCAGTCTCATTTTGTTTATATTTACAGAGACCAAAAGTTTCCTTTGCCTTTAAGAAAAAAACCCCCACACCAAAAGGTCAAGTTGAATACATTTTTTCCTGAAAATGGGCAAGTTATGATGATTTTAAATCACAGTAATACAATCAGACAGAGCAAAAAGCTGTATCTGCAGTATAAGTAGACTTAAAAACTATCCCTATGTTACCATTGAAGGAAACTGAGGAGGGATGACATCCCTTTCTATTATTTCTTACAATTCCAATATGAGTCTCAAATTATAAAATTAAAAATAGAAAAAGAGTTAACATTTTTCTTAAAACCAACCCTTAATTTTTTTTTTTTTTTTTTTTTTTTTTTTTGGTACGGGGGATTGAACTCGGGACCTTGCACTTGCAAGGCAGGCGGCGGAACCACTGAGCTAAATCCCCGCCCCAACCCTTAATTTTTCCCAGATTTCTGCTATATCTTGTCAAGGAAGGCAAAAAAAAAAAAAATTAACTCCTTTGAAGCCTGCATACATGGAATGATTATTAAGTGTGGTGTTGGTAATAACCGAATAATATCGAAGAGCCAAATTGCAAAGTTAATTTGATCAATACAAATGCTACTTGAAAAATTTTTATGAGTACTTGTTTACATAGTGATTCCATTCATTGTGGGGAATTGGTACATGTACATAACACATCTCAATTCTTTTTTTTCCCCCCTCTTACCTTAGACTCCCTGTTTTCTGTTTTAAATAAATGCTACTTATCTATAGACCTATACTTGAAACAGTTTTCAAGGTTGGAGGATGTGAAAAAGGTCCAGAAGGGGGAGCTGGAACTAAACAGAGACAAACTGACGCCTACACGTTGACTGACCTGGGAGACCCTTGTCTGTCTTGGGGGCCGGCCCCTTCTGTGCCCGTCATGGCGTAAATTCACCATCCTGCACAAGGTTTCTCAAGCAACTCCCCACACTCCCATGGCTGCCAAAGCACCAGGACCCCAGAGCAGTTTCAGCAGCTCCCCATGCCCGGCTCCTCTCCTGTCCTAGCCCTGTGAGACCGAGCTGTGCTGTGCTCCTCCCTCAGCTGTGTGCCCCCAGATTCTGAGGAAAAGCAACCCTTCGGAGAGCATCCTGTGAACCTGCAAAGGAAGCTGAGCACCACAAAATCCACTGAACACCAGAACGTGGCTATTTGGTCACATTGACAGAAGGAAAAAAGGAACCCAGAAAAGATTTCTCCCTTAGCTGATTTATACGTTGGTGTGTAATTCTCATTTTCTTTCCCCCAGGGAGAAAATCCATTACATTCGGACCGAGGGTAATCATGGGCTTGAGAAGTTGTCCTGTGATGCAGATCTAGTCATTCTGCTGAGGTAAGAGGCTGTGCCTCACAGGATGCCAGAGAAGCCAAACTGGGCCTCTTTGACCCACAACCACCTACATGAGAGAGACTGGACAGAAACACTGGCCGCTGTTTCTACAAGATTCCAGCGGCAGGGACTGAAGTAGACACCCCAGTCCTCATCACTGCTAAGTGATCATGAGCTCCATGAAGGATGAAGGATTTGTTGTCGGTGTAATCGGGGCTTTAATAAAACAATTTGCAAGCAGGATGTGCCTATTATAGTACATCTAAATCAAATTATTTTTGTTGCTTGATGAGAACTCTAACTGCCACCTGATTTGTGGGCACTTTCTCAGGGGACAGAGAACTAACTCTTTTTCCTTTAACTTCACAGTCTTTTTGAAGAAGAAATCATGTCCTACGTCCCCCTGCAGGCTTCCTTCCACCCTGGGTACAGCTTCTCTCCCCGCTGCTCACCCTGCTCCTCACCTCAGAACTCCCCAGGTAACCGGAGAATTTGGCCAGATACTGCTTGCAAGTGTTCCTCTGTGTGTGTGTGTGTTTCCAGCATCAGAAGGGAATTCATGGGCACTGCATTTGTATCCTTTCTCTTTTGGTCTCTCTGAATTTCCTGATCAGAAGTGCACTCTCTAAATTGATTGTTGACAAATTGCTGCCTATTTTTTTTCCTTACATTCTTTTATTGGTACATTTTAGGTATACAATACATTTACATTTATCATTGGGTACTTGTACCTTTACTTGATATATCTTGGTTCTTATTTTTTTTCCCCCATTTCCTGTCCTCCCTGCTGCCTATTTTTATAATGCCCTAAGCTAGAAGGGTTAACTTTTAAAAGCTTGAAAAGAATTTTTAAACATGTTTCAGGACATATGAAAATGATAAGAAACTCAAATTTCATTGCCCATAAATAAAGTTTTATTGGAACCTGGTCATTTCTGAATATGTATGTATCTTCTATGGCAGCTTTCACATTACCACAGCCGAGATGAGCACTAGGGACAGAAGACATGTGGCCTACAAAGTCTAGATTATTTACTATCTGGTCTGGCTCTTTACAGAACAAAGTTTGCATCCCCTGCTCTGAATCATTATTGAATTTCAAAGGCACTCTCCAGACATTTCAAAGGAAGGGTGCTTCCTGAAACATTCACCTAATGTCTTAGAATTCTGTTGGATACCAGCTCTAGTAACACATTTACTGGGGACCATTGTTACTTCTCCACAGAGGGTTTTCTTGGCACTAGGTGAAGTTGTTCCCCCTCTGATCTCTTTATATATAAAAGAATGAACTTACTCATAATACAGAAATTCTTACAGGTTTTTGCTATTCCAAATGAGAAAGTATATGTTGAGCTGTTCAGTGAAAAACAGGTATTTCCTGGAGTCATCAAGATAGTTGTCTTATGTCAAATGTGCACACACAAACTGATCCAAATATTGGAGAGTTTCTCCCTTTTCATTTGGCTTACATTATCATATTGTTGTAGGTTTCTATGATAAACCTAAACTTCTTTTTGTAACTTGAAAAGTGAAAGAGGTTTGTTTGAAAATCTAGGTCCAGGGTCCAAGTTTGGGTTCTAAAGCCAGCAGGGAAATTCAGAACAGATACAAAATTTAGCAGTATGCTCTGTGTTTTGAAAGGACTGTCTCCCTCAGAATTATTGCCCTAGGTATGATGTTGTTATAGATGGCATTTATAAGATTGATATAAAGACAATCTATTCCAATTTTCTGTAGGGTTTTTATCATGAATGGGTATTGGACATTGTCAAATAATTTTTCTGCATCTATTGAGATGATTATATGGTTTCGGTCCTTGACTCTGTTAATATGGTATATTACATTTATTGATTTGCATATGATGAACCATCCCTGCATCCCTGGGATGAATCCTACATGGTCATGGTGTATAATCTTCTGGATGATTTGCTGTGTTCTGTATGCCAGTATCTTATTGAGGAGTTTTGCATCTATGTTTATTAGGAAAATTGGCCTGAAGTTCTCTTTTTTGGTTGGATCCGTCTCTGCTTTTGGTGTCAGGGTAATGCTTGCTTCCAGAAATGAAGTATTACTTCCCTTGCAGTTTCATTAAAGAGTTTGAGAAGTAGCGACATTAGGTCTTCTCTAAATTTCTTGTAGAATTCAGCAGTGAATCCATCAGGACCTGGGCTTTCTTTATAGGTAGGTTCTTAATAACATCTTCAATTTCATTGACTGATATTGACTTATTTAGAATTTTTATATCTTCTTGATTCAGCTTTGGTAATTTATGTATCTAGGAATCTCTGCCCATTTCTTTGGTGTTTTCCATCTTGTTAGAGTACAGGTTCTCGAAGTAGGTATTGATGATCTTCTGGATTTCTGCAGGATCTGAGATGATTTCACACTTTTCATTGCTACTTGCATAGACTTGAGTCTTTTCTTTCCTTATTTGATAAGGTTGTTAAGGGTTTGTCAATTTTATTTAATTTTTCAAAGATCTAACCCTTTAATTCATTGATGCTTTATATTGTTTTCTTAGTCTCCATTGCATTAATTTCTGCCCTGATCTGTATAATTTCCTCTCTTGTATGAGCTATGGGCTTAACTTGCTCTTCTTTTTCTAGAGGCTTGAGCTTCAACATTAGCTTGTTTACTTGAGCTCACTCTGTTTTTCTATATGCGAATTTACCACTGTAAATTTCCCTCATAGGACTACTTTCATTGCATTCCATAAGTTCCAGTATGTTGTATTGGCATTATTGTTTAATTGTAAAAACTCTCTAATTTCTTCTTTAATTTCATCTGTGATCCATTGGTTGTTTGGGAGGGTTATTTAATTTCCATGTGCTTATGAAGTTTTTGTGGTTTCTTTTACCATTGATTTCCAGTTTCATTGCACTATGATAATATGATATGGTCTGATGATATGCATGGGATAATTTCAGTTCCTTTGCACTTACTTAAGCATGTTTTGTGAGCTAGTATGTGGTCTACTTTGGAGAACATCTCGTGGGCAGCTTAGAAGAATGTGTATTCCGGTGTTGTGTGGTGAAACACTCCATAGACATCTACTAGGTCCATTTGTTAAAACATTTAGTTCAGTTCTGATATTTCTTGATTGATTTTTTTGTCTAGTTAATCCATCTATTTGTGACAGTAGGGTATTGAGGTCCTCCATTACAAATGTATTAGTGCTTACTTGATTTTTCATGTCTGTTAATATTTGTTTTACATAGTTGGGTGTGCTGGTATTTGGTGCATATATATTTATGATTGTTAACTCTCCGTCTTGGATTGTTCCATTTACAAGCACTTAGTGACCTTCTTTGTCTCTCTTGATCAATCTTGGCTTTAAATCCACTTTGTATGCAAATAGAATAGCTACCTCTATTTTTTTTTCTGTGTTCCTATCACATGAAGCTTTCTTTTCTATCCTTAGACTTTCAGTCTATGATTTCTTTTTGAATTAAATATGTTTCTTGTGTGCAGCATAATTGGATCTCCCTTCTTTATCCATTCTGCCAGTTTGTTTCTTTTGATTGGTGAATGGAGACCATTTACATTGATGGTTATAACTGATACGTATTGAGCTCCCCTGGTTCTCTCCATTTTATTTATAACCTCTGGCAGAGCTCCACCACTAGGAAGCCTTCCTATCTTCTTTATGCACCCCTGCAGTCAGACACTTCATAGTTTAGATCTATAGTGTCCCCCAAAAGGCTCAAATGTGCAGAGGTGGGGGCTTTGGGAAGGTAAACAGATTATATAGGGCACTGTACTCATCAGGGAATTAATCCATAGTTGAATGTGCTGTTGGAAGGTGGGGTCTCTTCAGAAGAGGTGGATCAGTGGGGCATGACCTGGAAGGGTGCATCTCCCTGCCTGGCTCCCCCTTCTCTCTTGGCTTCCTCGCCCCTGTGACATGAGCAGCTTTCCTTTGCTACACTCTTCTTCCATGCCATTTATGCCTTAGAGCCAGCTGTCTAGGAACTGAATCCTCTAAAAACTGTGAGCCAAGCTAAACCTCTCCTCCTTTAAGTTCGGGGTACTGGATATTTTGTCCCAGAGAGGAGAACATTACTAAGACAGACACTCTTAAGGAAATTCACTTGACTTGTCAGATAATTAACTGTAAGTTATTAGTCATCTCTCACTTCACGTGAACCTTGAGCACCCGAAGGAAAATCCTAGTATATTTTTGTGGGGCTTCTCTCCTACTGTTTCAAATATTTCCACTTGCCTCAACCATCCAGGCTCCAGCATCCCCTCTTCTCTCCTAGCAAATTGTATTGCTGTTTACTGCACTGAGAAAATCAGTCATCCAGCAGAACCTTTCCCAAATGCCTGCAAGATTACCAGACCTGCACCCATCTCGTCTTCCTCGGTGCCTGTCCATGAGAGGAAGAGTCCTCACCAGGCTCACCAGGACCTCTGGTCACCTGCTCTCCTGCATAGTTCTTGGCCCTCCCTCTGATCTCTCAGTGCCTCTTAATATTACTGACTGCTGTCCCCTCAAGTCACCAGTTCAGTTAGCTTCAGTGACCTCTCTCCAGGCATGGCATCTGCTCTGGTGTTTCTTGCAGCCTTTCCCTCCTCTTTCCGTGACCCTCAAGGCTCATTCCCAAGTTTTTGGGTTTTTTTCTTCTCTACTCCTTCAAACTATGTCTCTGGAATCAGTCAAAGAGCAAACTTATAATCTTCCTCCACAAATTGGTTATTTTTCCTCTGTTCCCCATCTTAGTGAATATCACTTCGGTTTATTTAGTTGCAAACTCTGAAACACACCTCTCCTTCACTGCTTGTATCCAGTTAATTGCCTCCTATTTACATTTCCAGTCTGTCTCCCTCCCATCTTCATTGCATTGACACCAGACTTGTTCAGTATGACCTATCTAAATCTACCCTGGTTCTCTTCAGTCTTTTCTGTCTACAGCAGGAAGTCACATCTTGCCAGCCCTTATGCAATGGCTTCCTGTTAGAATTAGCAGGAAACAAAATTGCTTAGCAAGACAGCTTATCCTGTTTGGTGTGGTTCCTGCCCACCTCTCAAAAGCTGTTTGTCATTTTGGTCCTCATACCCTGTGCTTCTGACAAACCAGAACATTGCTTTCCATTTGGCCACAGGACAAATGTGCTGATCTTCTCTCTGAATTGTTCTTCTCCCAGCTCCTCTCTTTTCTTAAAGGAAAACTTTCCTGGACTATTCTGTCTATGTCATACCCACGTCTTAGTTTTTTCCCCAGGGAATGGTTCCTGGGCTTGGCCAGCAGGTTCTGTGTCCTCAAAAGAACTGTGTTCCTTTCCTTCATGGGTAGCAACCATCTCAACCTGTAATGGTATATTCATTTCTATGCGTTTACTCATGTAAGTCTTCTTCAGGTTGTAAGACTAGTGTCTGGAATACTCAGATAATAACCAACTAATAAATACCTGTTGAATGAGTGAACCATGATTTTGGCCATCTGTAAAACTTGGATAAGAATGTTACTTTTTCTTTTTTCATTAAAAGGTATACAAAGTAGAGGATATGCAAAGCGTTCTCTATAGAGTCAATAAAGTATTATTATTCTTGTTATTGTTCTAAAATTTGTTTTTATGATTCAAGGTAATCTAATACAAGTTCCTAAATGTTCTGAGCCCTACTGTACAGATGTGTCTCTCCTAGAATCAACATTAATAGAGAAGCATGGAAAACGCATATTAAAGTTCTGTTGTCTCATTACAGTTTCAATCAATTCTTAGAATATAACAACTTAGAAGAAAAGTGTAGTTCAGTTCATATTAACTGTTTCAGATTGCCCAAGTACAATTAAGCCAAGAAAATGTGGATCAGGATCCTTTTAAGAGAAATACATTTTGAAATAATTAGAGTAGAAGACATAGATATTTATTCTCATCAGAATGCACTTTTTCTCTTTGCTATATTATTTCTGTGTGTTAGAAAAGTAACAAAGGGAGTCGTGGAAATAGAAGCTGCTTAGAGAAGAAGACAGGAAGACCCAGGAAGCTGCCTCAGTCAGGCTCTGGCTCCATCTTTGCTGTGCATATTTGTCCTTGGATAAAAAGTTAATGACCTGTGCACCTGTGCGCTTCTCTCTGCAGGTTTACAGAGAGCCAGCGCAAGAGCCCCTTCACCATACCGAAGAGACTTTGAGGCCAAGCTCCGAAATTTCTACAGAAAACTAGAGGCCAAAGGATTTGGGCAGGGTCCAGGAAAAATTAAGTGAGTGCTTCAGTGCTTGGCACTGAATTCAAATGGGAAACATTTCTATCTCCTCATCCTTTATATCTGTGTCATACTCTTTGGAGATTGAGTACTCTGGTGTGATAGCAATTATGGCATAAAGGGAGGAAAGGAAGAAAAAAAGAAAAAAGCTAGGTAGTTGGAAAGAAAGAAAAAAGGAATTTAAGGAATTGGAAGGGAAGGAAAATGGAAGGAGGAGGGAAAAGGAAGGAGAAAGAGAAAGAACAGTAGAATTTAGACAAAGTCACATATAGCATCAATAGTAGATGTTTTTCAGAAAAAAAAAGAAGCTTGTACTAAATAAAGCACCTTGTGTTTATTTTCTTTTACTTATTATTGGGAAAAATTTAACTCTAGTCAAATTCATTGACTCTTTGCAGTTGAAGTCCAAGTAAAAAGGAGCTTTAAAATTTTTTTCCTCTGGTGTTACTATTTATATCTTAAAAAGCTGAGCCCATATTCAAGAGGTTGTGGTGCTTATATGCCTGTAAGGGCAGCACTCTGGGAGGCTGAGGCAGGAGAATACAAATCCAAGCCCAGGCTGGGGAACTTAGCAATTTAGTGAGACCCTGTCTCAAAAAAAAAAAAAAAAAGGAAAAAAAGAAAACTTAAAAAGGGTTGAAGCTATAGATAGCTGAGTGTGAAGTGCCTGCATTCAGTTCTCAGTTCACAAAAAAGGAGATATGCTAGGAACAAATCATAAAGCAAAAAGAATCTTAAAGTAGTCCAATGCAATGGAAAATATCCAGTGATAAGTGTACTTGTTTTCTTCATCTGCCAATGTTTTGAAAAGTGTTAAGTCCATCAACTTGGGGGACTGCACCTTGCCCTTTCCTGTCCTATTGGAGAGGCTGTGGAAGGAGACCATAAAACTGGGCATTCACATCTTATGTGTGACACTGCCTGGCATCCTCCATATAGAGCCTTCACTCACCACCCCTTCTCTCCTCCACAGGCTCATAATTCGCCGGGACCACTTGTTGGAAGGAACCTTCAACCAAGTGATGGCCTATTCCCGGAAGGAGCTCCAGAGGAACAAGCTCTATGTCACCTTTGTTGGAGAGGAGGGGTGAGGCACCAGAAATCTTTCACACATACCTCAGTGTGAACAGACTAGAGCCCCAGGATCAGAATGCTTTTTCTCAAGAAGGAGCAAGGTGTCTTAAGCCTGGGTCTCAGGGTGATTCTGATCCTGTCCTCCCATGAGATCTTCCTCTTTCCAGGTGTCACCAAGCTTTAGACCCCACGTTCTTCAAACTCCTAAGTCCTGGGCATTCCAGAATCTGAGATCACATGATCAAAGTATAAGCCAAAAACACAGTCTTAAGCCACTGCCTCTTTACTTTGTAGGTAGTGGACTCTTTGAGTATATAATCAAAACACTCTTCTTTTGAAAGTGCACGAATATAACTACATACCAACCTTTTCATATACTTTCTGTGTTTTCATGGAAATCATTTAAGTGTGGAGGGCAGGCCCACCTAGCTGGGAACATCGGAATGTACTTGAAGCTTTTCCAGTTCTCACACACACACACACACACACACACACACGCACGCACAGGTACACACATGCATGGCCGCAGGAAATTCTTTTACACTTCTCCCAGCAGAGACCTTGTTTGTATTGGGCCAGTTGTGTGTTTTATCCATTAGATATTAAAGGATTGGGGAAAAAAAGATTAAGGACCATTTCCACAAGTTCAATCATGGACATCTGGTTAACACTTCAAACCAATAACTGCAACCTCATTTCCCACTGTAAAATAACACCTCCATCGGGATCCACTCTAATGGGCAGAAACTGAGCCCTCCTTTCCCCAGTGGCCCCTGATTCTGAAAAGCTCACTAGAATCTGGGTAACAGACTGTCCCTCCCCTGCTGGGCACAAAATGAGCTTCCTGGACCTGTTCTTCCTTTGTAGCTTGGACTACAGCGGTCCTTCTCGAGAGTTCTTCTTCCTTTTGTCTCAGGAGCTCTTCAACCCTTACTATGGACTCTTTGAGTACTCTGCGAATGATACTTACACGGTGCAGATCAGCCCCATGTCAGCATTTGTAGAAAATCATCTTGAATGGTAAGATTTATAATGTTCACTTTCTTGCATCTGAGAGTTCTTGTCTTTCTTAGAAGTATTTCTCTGAGGTCGAGGCTTCTAGAGCAGTCAGGTAGATATTATGAGAGGGCATGGGAGTGAATAACAGAAGCCTAGAAGGAAATACAGGTTAATCTTCACCCAGAACACAAGATAAATTACTAAAGACACTGATAATATAACAACGATAGACTGATGTAAGATAGAATAGTTGCCTCCTGAGGATGTACTAGGAATATAAAGATAGAAGCCATAAGTGTTGATAAGTTTACTAATCATACCAGTTCCCAGTAGAAGCTTCTTGGAAATATCTGGATTTGAAAATTCTCTCTGATCTTGGACCAGTGGTTTTAGCAACAGCTTCTATGTTTTACTGAAAAATAAATGTGCTGGGCTAGGTGATCTCCAAGCACTCTGCTGAACTGAAAATCCAGCGTAACTTTGGTTGTCTCCTTTGAGGCTGAGAGACGGGTGTGAGAAGATAGGTATCAGCCAATTCTGTGCAGGTTTGTGGACAGGATATCTCCGATGTCGTTCCTAGACATCTCTTGAAAGCTGCATGAGACATCAAGGATGCACGCACAATCCCTGCAACCTCCCCACCAGGCTCAATTTGAAAATGACCCTTGATCTCCCGCAGGAGTTCCTGCTGTTGAAGGGAAATGAGTCCTGGAGATGGCCAACGTAGGTCTTTTCTGACATGGCTTATTTATGCTACTGTTGAAGGGACTTGTGAGATGACACAAGGGCCTCCTAGGTTTAGAGCCCAAGTCCCTATAGTTTTGTCAACATAGCATCAGATATCCACCTAGGGCTTGCAGATGGTGGCACATGCCCTCTCTCCCAGCACACGCTCAGCTCTGAAGTTCCTGAGCTAAGGTAGAGTGTGTCTGCATCAAGTGTCTGGCACAAGATGAAACAAAACCTGCCCTTTGTCTCTATAGCTTGTCCTATAACTTGTCAATAGGCAGATATGGAAGTCTATAGACAGAAACCCACGGGCTGGGAAGGCGGAGGAGGCAGGTCGTTGCAAAAGGGATCGATAGCCCTGAGAACTGACTGCTACCTCTCAGCCGGGTCCTGCTCAGGCAGACTCCATTCCAGCAGTAGAGCACATCCTAACCTGAGACACAAGAATGCACATGTGCGTGAGTTGCACGTAATGTAATCCTTCAACTATCTCTCATTTCTTGAGCATGAAATTTAAGGTAGTATCTTGGGGGTTATGAACTAAGTCAGTAATCAAAAAAAATACTTTCATCGGATCTTTCATTCCTACCTTATGGCCCTATGCTAGGTGTTTTGGGGAAATGCCACTAATATAGCAATTATAAATTAAGCACATACTAGGTGTTGAGAGTACACACAGTTGGAATGAGCTAAGTCCCTTCCCATAAGAAGGAACAGTGGGAGGAGCACAAACCAATAATTACAATATCTTAAATGTTAAGTTAAAGACATAACATACACAGGTGTGTGTTAGCCTGAGACATGTAATACAGATGCTCCTCTACTTTACAGCGGGGTTACATTCCAATAAATCCATCATAAATTGAACATGTGTATTCACCACACCTAAGCTACCGAACATCATAGCTTAGCAGCTCAACACATTGCAGAGGTGGAGTATTGCTTGCTTACCTGCAAAATCATGCAGCTAACTGGGAGCTACACTTGGGCTTCTACCCAGCATAGAGAGAGATTCCTACTGCTTATCACTAGTCCAGGAAAAGATCCAAATTCAGAGTATGATTTCTACTGAATGCATGTCACTTTTGCACTGTCATAAAGTCAGAAAAATCATAAGTCAAACCATCATGAATTGGGGAACATCTGTATACACTGAATCGTATTCAATCACAAGGGAAAATATCTTTCCACCCAAGTAGAGAGTGAAACCTGTGAATCTTACAAAAAGAGGATTGTGAGGGGAAGTGCGTTCGGAGACGCAGGTGGGGATCAGAAGAATGTAGCCCCTCTGGAGAATGTTAAAATGATATCTATGTTTTCAAACAGTATATCTTGCCAGAGAGTGGAGATAAGACTGGAGTAGATAAGAGTAGAGCAGCTGTGAAACAGTTGATCTGCCGAGGGAAGGGAGATTTGGGGGCATACCAGCAGAGATGGGCAGCTCAGCTGTGGGACACGAGAGCATCCAGAGCTTGTGCAGATGGAGAGCAGTGTTTGGCCCCAGTCAGAGTGGCCAGCACTGATGTGTTGGGGCAAGGTGGGAAGAGTAGCAGGATCCGCTTAGCAGGAAGCTAAGCAGGGGTGGCCTGTGCTCAGGGTCAGAGAGGACGTGATGAGGAAGTGAAGGGGGCCAGAGGGGCACAAGAGGGTCAGCACACAGCCCACTGGAGTGAGGGGAGCAGGCGGGCTGAGAAGTCACAGGCCAGCGGGAGTGAGTAGGCAACAGAAGGGGGCCTTCAAGGGCAAAGGGTGGGGAGGATGTGGCCGAAGACCTCGAAGGAGTAAGTGTTCAAATGACAGGCAGGCAAAGGAGCTGCACGGTGGCCAAGGGAATAGGAATAAGCACCATGGTGGAGGAATGGGACTCGGCATTGTGAAGGAGGCACTGGAACCAAGCATGCATCTGTGTGGCCACATGTGAGGGCCTAACAGAAAGCTCAGAAGACACACTGGAGTCGGGAGAGTGGCCTCCTCCTTGCATTAAGAGGCTCTGTTGGAAGTGACAGCTGTGCTTTATTGCACCAAAGAGGGAAGCTCTGTGAGCCAGGGGTGTTGTAAGAATTAGCATGTTCCCTCGAGGGATCTTCCACAGGCTCAGAAGTCCTCCTTCACTTGAGGACTTGGCCTCAGACATAGGCAGGCTGACTTCTACACGCTGACATTCCCACTCGTGTGGAGAGTATTTGCCGTGGGTCCTGGAGTCAGAATTGTAGGTGGCTTTCTGAATCCACTAGCAATCTAAGTGGAGTTCAGGGAGATTGCAGGTTTCTTTTCACATTGCTCATAGGGTTATGAGTTACCATGAAGTGCGTGAGGCCCCAATTCTGAGTGCATCAGTCCTCAGTTGAAGGAGAGAACTCTGCACACCTCCCTTGTGAAGCTGTCAGTGTGTCATGAACTCCACGTGAAGTTGGACTGTTCTCTGTCAGTGCCTCAAAGTCCCTGAGAGGGAAATAGCCTTGTTCTGTGCTTATGGCCAGGCTCAATGACTTGACCTACCTTCTTTACCTTTGAACAAACAGTGTCTTGGTCACTTTCTTGGTCACTGCAACGCAATACCCACCACCTACAATTTAAAGGATGTCCGGTGTATTTTGCTGTAAGGTTTCAGTCCATGGTTGGCTGGCTCCAAGGCAGAAGCAGCATGGTGGAGGAAAAGGTCCTCAACCTATGGCAGCCAGAAGGCTGGGACAGAGGAACAGGGGCCCACCTCCAACCAGGCCCTACCTCCTAACAGCACATTCAGCTACGAACTCATCAGTGAATGAATACACCAATGAGGATAGGGGCCACCACGATCCAATCACCTTCCACACACATGAGAATTCTGGGAGACATTTTAGATTTAAACCCTAACAAACCGGAAGCCCATGGTGGGCTTTGGGGACTCAACAAAGCCAAGACACTGGAGTTATTCCTTTAACTTTCCTGCTGTAAGTCATCCTGTGCCAAATGGATTAACAGGAAACTCAACTTAGGGGTGCATTTCCTGTGTCCCCGATTCTCTCGGTCTCACATGTGAGTGGAATGTGGGTGACTGGGATTGCTCCCATCTGAATGAAGTGGCTCTGAGTCTTGCACGAAAGCAGGACACACACACAGTGTCAGGAAATAATACCCTCAGCAAGTGGGTGCAGCAGCTCCTGCCTGAAGACCTGTCGCTGTCACTCATGCATCCAGGAAGTCTACGATGCAGGGGAAACCAGAATCCTGAGTGCCAAATCGGATCGTCCAGGACTCATTGCCACTGGATGCCTCTTATCCTCCAAGAGGGTGGACAGGGTTGCAGCCCTCCTTCCTTCCTCGCTCCACAGGTGTTCATCACCTGGGCCATGAGAAAGATGACAACCACCATAACCTGTCCATCACTTGTAAAGAAACACAAAGGGCAAAAATTATAGGGCTTATCAGAGATAGCCCTCACTGGGTAATGCTGGAGATTGTCCTGTGACGCAGGACAAGCCAGAGCAAGATTCAGCCTGGTCGGGACATGGAGATGGATACCACCCCCTGCTCACCTCCTCTTCCTTCTGGAAACAAATTAACCTGACCACAGACCAGAAGTAAGTGTGGCAAAGATGGGAGGATTAAACATCCATCGCTCAGGACTGAAACATTACACAGGTGTGGTGTTGGTTATTGGTCATCTTAACCTGTTTTTGTTATTCTGCTTCTTCTGTGTCCCACGCTGTTGTTTGCTTTGTCTGACTCACCCTGGGAAAGATGAGCTCTATGTGAGCAGAGATGGTGTTTTCTTAGTTTCCTCTTGCATAACTCTGGGCACTTCCAAGTGTTCCACTGAGTATTGGACGCATAAATCAGTATTATTCCTCAAGTGACAGCAGTGCCTTCCTTGTCCCAGGGCTATTACGATAAACGGTGATCCGTCCTCCCTTGTGCAGTTAATTGCCACAGGTTCACTCTTTTCGTTGTCATCTATGGTTCTAAAGCCCTCGGCCTGGGAGGGTAGGTGCTAGAGGCCTGGTACCCCCTCCCCAGGCCCCTACAGGGCTTGGGCCCCATCCCGGCCCTGAAACATGCCCCAGATGTCCCACCGTGTCTGGGCGCAGAGCGGATGACTGAGGTGTTCCATCCTACCCAGGACAGTCCTGCATTGCTGTCCCCTCTTGATCTCACGTAGCACAGTGAGCAGAATGAGCAAGAAGGGCATCTGGGCTGTGCAGTGAACACACACTACTGAGGGCCCTTCCTCCAGGCTCGCCCCAGTTGGAGAGGCCCACACACTGGGCAAAGCCAGTGTCTGTGAGCCCCAGGACTCCACTCTGCTGCTG